ATTCTCCAACATATCCAATCGAATAGATTTGATCGAATAATCAGGCTGTGAGCCCTGAGCTTGATAACCTGAGTGAACATTTTGGAAAATGCAGTTTTCCTTGTGGACAACAAGCACACGTGTGACCAATGTGTGGAAACGTTAACCAAAACCATAAAATATCTAAATGGTCCGCATAGAGAGTGAATCGGTCCACAAATGTCCCTCTGAATCCTTTGTGGAAAAATAGAAGGATTAGAATGAATCTTGTCATAAGAAGGCTTAAAATAAGTTTTCCCATGGAGCAAGTTTGACATGCGATTCCTTGAATCGAACCTAAACTTCGGGTTAGTGGATGCATGTGTGATGATTTGAGGATACAACGCATCGCTGTTTGTCCAGGGTATCCCAAAAGATCATACCAAAGTGTAATTTCGTGCGCGGTCCTAGAGGTAGGGCCGGCCACATAGTGGCTTTCTATAAGGCGTATAGTCGTAGTATACAGACTACTTGGGATACGCTCCATCTTCTCTAGAATACGATTCTGGCCATATTCGTAGGAAGTTATGCACATAAATTCAACTATGTTTTCTACATAGGCTTCAGTGTGGTAATTATTATCTCTAATGTCCTTGAAACTCAACGTCGTTCTTTCGGAAAGTGGAGAATAAAGTGCCTCATCAATGGTAAAAATTGTACCATTGGACAACATTATATGTGTCTTACTATATCATTCAATCAGGTTGGATGGGCCTGAGAGGATTGTCAGAGGTGCATTCTTAGGTATGAAGTTAGTGAAATAGATGCGTTCACGCAAAACGATGTGCGTGGTTGCACTATCTGCTAGACAACTAACTTCCCCACTAGTCATACCTTGAATGAAATTAATTTGAATCGGTCACATGCATAAAAGTTCTAAAAACAAATATTCATTCAAAATAATTTTAAGTTATCAAATATTTTAAGTATTTGGATCTAAACTAATATAACCTTGTGACTAATATGCATTTGATTCTCACAGGTCCTCAAAACGAGTCTATAGACCTGTTAACTTTATTAAATAATAATTTTACAGTGGAGGCATAAAAATCCAAAGACATGCATGCATCATACTATTAAAATAGTACCTCTACTTAACAGGCATGAATGTAACGTATTACCAAACTTATTCCCCCAAATTTAGGCCCTGCAATCTGTCTCTCAAATTATTTGTTTACTTAATGATAAATCATTTTGAATATGTCTGACTTAGCTAAAATTGAAGACGTAATATACTAGAAGATGTGGCAAGTATTTAATCATCTAACTCAATATGTGGCACTTTATCGTAAACTTATAAACGCGATAATGTTTGATACATTAGTTGTTATGATCACTTCAACAATCGTAATTAATTTGCTATTAAGTTGTCAAATCAATTTTTAAAGACAACAATTTGGCAATTCAGTTTTCAGACCGACAAATATATTTACGTACAAATTAATTTTAAGCTCTTGGTGATGTCGCATGGTAGAAGGATTTTCGACTTATTTTCTTTGGGAATATATTATAGGTACTTGAATCCTCACGGTTTTAAAGTCGACGGATTGACTTTTACTTGTGTTTGGAATTAAAAACCCGTAAGCTAATGGGTGATCCAGTTTGGAACATATTTATTGGTTATATTGGTCGTTTCATTTCTAATTCTTTTTGTTTTGGTGAAAATTCCTTTCTAATTCTAATACAGGTGAGTCTGCCTCTTTGCACGGTTGCTCTTAATGGTAGCTGAAGTAGACGGTGTCACATCCCGGTCCGGGGGGACCGTTTTCCGGGTCCGCTCCACCACCGTAGCACGATATTATCCGTTTTGGGTACCGACCACGCCCTCAGGGTTTTGTTTCTGGGAACTCACACGAGAAATTCCCAGTGGGTCACCCATCATGGGAGTGCTCCCAAAAGGCCTCGTGCTAGGTAGGGATGAGAATATACATATAAGGATCACTACCCTGGGCGATGTGAGATGTCACAAACGGCCCAAGGCCTCCTTTAGAATTTACATACATACATATATATATATATATATATATTAATATTACAAACCTTGTATCCGTTCAAATAAGAAGTCTAATACCTTATTTTTTTGAACAAATGAAGTCTAATACCTCAAGCCTTTGTCTAAATACAACGGCCTATTGGGTTGAGCAGCTGAATCCAACATTTGAAAGATTTAATTGTTTATTCTAATTAATTTAAATAAATAAATAAAAACATGTTTTGTATGTGAAAGGTGAAGCGTTAAGTGACTCAAACATGTTCTTATTGACTTGAAAAACAAACATGTTAATTTACTTCTTATGTCGCACTCCCCAGACCACCAAACATACCAAACTCTAAACGGCAGAATACTTTGGCCTTTTCCGCATATTCTAAGTGGTTCCTTTCTCAATAGAGAAAACACCAAAACTCTCAAGCACCTTTGTATATCTTTCTTATTTTGATATTAATTTTTAATGATATCTGAGGTAGAAATATAATTTTTCATGTATTTAGTGAAATTTTTTTTATATGTATCAATTTACAAAGAGTCGAAGTCAGAGATCAAAAAACTCTAAGATCCCACTTTGAAAACTCTCCTAAGGCTCCCAAATTCTTAAGGTTGGCCTTGCCTCTTTATCAGGGAGTTCATAGCAAAGTGCGATCACTAAATATGTACAAAATACAGTATTATTTAAATAAATTTAACGAGTTAAAGCGATCACATGAAACTTGTCCCAATTATCTATAGCACGAGGAATAAACTAGTATAATACTTGGTTCCTTATTAGTAAAAACATCATATATTTAACCAATGACATGGGCCAATAGTAATAAAATACACGTACTTTGGACAAAGCCACCAAATGACACTTATGATAATTAGATTAGGTATCGAAATTGTAATCTATAAAAGTCAAATTTGAGACTTATAAGTAAAGTTTGTAAAAATATATATCACTAATCTATAATACTAGTGACCACAAGTGTCCAACTATTTTTCGGTAACGATAGCAGAGAGCACACACTTTGTGTGTGTGAACAATTTCTCTTAATAAATACATATTACTGTTTTGTCCTCCTTATGTAAATATTGTGTATCAAAAGTGAGAGTAAAATTGGAAAAATAAGTATATAATTGTCATTTTCTAATAAAAAAGAGGGTAAAATAGGAAAATAGGGATATGATCCTCATTTTGTCAAAAGGTACAAAATTACTATTTTGCCCTCATTTTGTCAATAGTGTGTATCAAAAGTGAGAGCAAAATAAGAAAAAATGGGTAAAAAAGTTGGCAATGAGGGTTCACTTAATAATAGTATAGATAAGGGGTACATCACCCCAAAACTAACTTAATAATTATTACAAACTATTCGAATTCTAGCTTCAGCCTTCAATCATATCATCAAATAAATAAGTTTCAATTCATTTAGGTGAATTCTCAAAATAATAATACTCAAGATTCACATTGTATAAGTAAAAAAAAAAAAAAAAAAGATTCACATTGTAATTCCAATTAACAAGTATCCAATTTTTAGTAGACTGAATGATATATAACTTCTGTTGGGTAACCAATTAGAAAGCGCTGCATACGTATATAGTTCCGCTAAGTCGAGGCTAGGTTTGTATATTTATTTTTCACGTGATATATAGGATAGATTAGGTTCATCGAATGGAAGTGTATATCTTCTGCTCGAGCAAAGTTTATTCAGAGCCGTCATTATATATAGATTTACTAACTCAACTGCTAGCTTTCTTAAGTCAAATGATTATCTGCCATATATTTATTTTCAATACTGAATAGGTCAACCCAATAAGTTCATTGAGAATTAGATATTTAAAATGCAAGAAAAAGTCGACAAACAAACAAATTATTACTATCGTGGGATAGATTTTTCATTATGCCTGAAAACACAGACATATACTATATGTCATTACACAAGTAATGAGATACTTGGAAAACAAAATAGAATATGGTTCTCTCCCTTTGTATTCCCATCATCTTCCCTTCCTTCCTCTCACACATTGTCTTTTGTCTTATTGTCCTTATAAAAAAAATCAATATAAGATATTGATGTGGCTTAACCGTAACCATTCAAGTAGGAGGGGAAGAAAGGGGAGAAAGATTAGGAGGGGAGAGAATTATCTACCAAAAAAATTCCTCCACTTGTATAATAACTTATGACATACCACTTTATATTTCGACTACACTGAAAAATTTCTTTTACCGCAAGCCAATAATGGTATAAACTGTAACTAGCTCACACCCACACAATTTCAAGCGTATTTTGATGTAGACCACCATTAATTATCGAACAATGGAAGAAAGTCAAGAAAGTTGATGTTTCAACTTAACCAATTGGCGATATGATGTATAAGCTCATGGTCATTCCAATGTGGGATTTATTCTAAATATGCCTCCTCACGTGTGGTGAATTTTCATGCCTAACACGTGGACAACACAACTCCGATGACATGAAGCACGTGTGATCATTGGGTTTCACACATGGGATAACCTGCTCTAATACCATAAAGAAAATTGATGTTCCACCATAAAACCAATTGGCAATATAAAGGTAGTCAAATTTACTTATAAGTCCATACAAAGTCTTTCCTCTCATCAACGTGAGACTCATTCTCAAAATCTTAAATTCAAACTAGCCCATTGATATACGGTTACTTCTTTTAAAACAAATATATGTTTGCAACTACTCAAGATTTGCGATCACTTCTACAACTTGAACAATTCTTGTTAATAGTTAGAGATCTAATCTACGTGACAAATTATTATGTGTAACGACAATAATAATACTTTGAGTAAACTAGTATCTCTAAATCTGGATATCACGGGAATGAACTTCAACTTATAATGTCAACAAATTACATCACGCTATTGGCCCAAGATAGTAAATAAGTCCCCCTTTCCAACGTGTAATGATAAAATAATAGTTTTTATGGGCATTATCCTATTTATATACCACCTCCTCCATGCCAAGATTGCCCCATCAGAGACGCAAAGTGCAACCAGAGAGCTTATCTCGTCAGGCTTTTCTCTGCTTCCTATCCCCTTTATATCCTCACTTACCTCCTGGCATTCCTGAAAACCCTTCTCCCCCTCTCTCTCTCTCTCTCTCTCTCTCTCTCTCTCGATCTGATGCCCAACACAACCACCACTACTTGAATCCTTGATTCTTTTCCGAGCCCTTTATCCATATTTTGCATGATCCTTCACTCGTTTGTTCATTGAGAAAGTATGAGTAACACGATGATTCCACGAGTGAAAGTCATGGTTTATTTGGTCTACGACAGGGGTTAATTCCACACACATCTGATCTAATCCTTTCACAAATTTTTCGTGCCCTCTGTTTATCTTGTTCTAATTCTCCTTCAAACTAAATTGATGGAAGGTGGTGTTGTGTTTTGTTTTTAAAACCCATCATCCACAAATAAATCCTTTTTTTCTATCCGTTGTTTAGTTTCAGTAAGTCTTGTACACGAAAAGATAAGATGGGTTTGATAACCAAAACATGGAAGCGGTGCAAATCAATAGGCCGGGGTCGTCCTACTAATTTGCATGGAATGGTGCCTGCTCTGACCACCAAGAGCAAGTCATGCCCACATATCAAACTCGGGATGCTTGAGGAAAAGCGTGCGAGCAAGCGCCAAGTGGCTCCTGAAGGTTGCTTTACAGTCTATGTCGGACCCCAAAAGCAAAGGTTTGTGGTCAAAACGGAACACGCAAACCATCCTCTCTTCAAGATGCTGCTTGAAGAAGCCGAGTCTGAATTTGGGTATGACAGTCGAGGTCCCCTTGTGCTTCCTTGTAACGTTGAGATATTCTACAAGGTTTTGGTGGAAATGGATGATTGTGGCGAGCAAAAGGTTCCTCGAGGGTGGGGCTTGGCTAAGCGTTATGGTTCTTACAGTGTTCTTAGCCCGTCTCGGATAGTTGCTATCAATCAGTTCTAGTTATCATGCATGTGTAAAATTGATATAGCTTGCTTGGTTGATGATGATACATATGGGTTGATGTATAATTTCTGGGATTTAACAATAGCCTTGTTAAATATTAGGATCGGAGAGGATGAGGATGAAAGAAATTCAAGCTATGTTTGTAATATATAATTAGTTCTCATATATATAAATCTTGTTATGTTTTGTAATTTGGGTATCCATCTGTTAAATCATCTCTTGTCGTTCAACTGCTTAATTAGTTGCTTTATCTTAGCTCTTAATCAGCATGTAATCTCTTTGGTATGCTAAAATCTACAAACAACTAGTTTTACAAGTTGTTATCATGGAACTGGTGTAATAAGATCACTAAAAGTACAAACCATGCATCATTGGTGCGTAATATATCTGGTAAATTAATATTAACTAAGAATACTATAATTAGGGTTATAATCCAATGTATCTTGATAATATTGGTAGCAACTTGCAAACAAATTAAGCGGCGAATATGCTATAAAAGAACGTCATCATACATTGTGTGTGTATATATATATGTATGTATGATCTGAAAGGATAAGATGAGAACAACGAATTGAGGGGACCTAGCTACCTGAGTTGAACATCAGAATACTCGATGAACAAACAGAATATAAAACTATGAATAGAACTTTATTAATCGAAAGTAAAGAAACAGTACAGAATTGCTAACAAGGCTACAAAATTTGAAGAAACTACGTAACTAACTTATTACTCTATGAGTTGCAAAGCATCCTATTTATAGAAGTAAACGAAAGCAAACACTAATCTCTAACGGGTAAGAAATTATAAACTTAACAGGTAAAGAATCATAATCCCACGAGAAAACTGAAAAAAAAAAAAAAAAAAACTAATTTTCCAACATGCAAGTGGCCCTTTACTACAGTGGTGGAAATGAGTTGAGCTTTTGCATGACGGCGTGAGTTTGACCCCACCGGTGACTAATCTAGTATTTAATCTAACAGAATCTATCGTTTGAAAGAAAGATAAAAAATAAAAAATAAAAAAACTAATTTTCCAACATGGAGAGAGCTTAACCCTACGTCTTTCACTCCTTATTACCATCCAAATGATCAATTAATTAAATTCTAACTATGTAATACGAAAACAAAAGGCTGTTTTTAAATTTGATTAGCAACCTATGTAGACCGTGATTACAGCGGTTTAACCTCCGTAGATATATATGGGTGGCTTGGCTGACAGTAACATTTCTCTATCTTCTTTGGCTAATAGTCATGATACTATACACATGTGTACGCTTTTGATCACGTAATTAAGTAACAAAACATAATATATACATATATGTACGTAATTAATACTAAACTATGTTTTAAAGCATCAAAATACAAAACCGCATATGTAGTTAAGTAGTGCGTGACTCTTTTTATAGTGGAACCTCAACTTTCTTTGTGAAATTAAAGTCACATGTGAAATCTAACGGCCATACATACGTACTTCACGTTACTCAATTAGTATTAGAGCAGGTCATCCGCGTCAAAATATTAAACCATTTTTTATTAGTTTGTGAAGCGGCAGCTGGGAGAGCACTGAAAGGAAGGAACTGGGTATAGATAGGCAAATCATGTTCTGGTGTGGATGGGAGAAAAAAAAAATGGCCGCTATAAGACCACATAAGCTGCCGCTTTTACTGACCGCGCACCACCTTGTTTGGTTTGGGTACGTGAAACGAATGACAAATGCATGCGGGGATGGCACAAATGGAGTATACATGACTTTGTTCTAGAATTTGACTCAGCTCTCTTTTTTTATTTATTACGGAACTCTTCACCACGCCACAATAGTGTACCCTTTCACGGTTGAGCGATCTCCCGTTGGCCACATGTGCGTTTGCTACAATTCAGAATCATTAGCCACCAGCCCATAACCCATTTTCATCAAAGTTGACATTGGAGTCCTTTTTTCTATTTCCTGCTTCTCATTTTATTAATTCGTCAATGACTTGTTAAACTCGTTTATTATAATGCATTTGAATTAATTTACGGAACGAGATCCTCTCCGAATCTTTTCCTCCAAAACTAAGGGATCAAGTGATACATGCCTTTAAATTTGATCAAACGGTTAAAAATAAAGAAGTTAGTAAAAACTTTTAAAAGTTATAATAAATTTTTGCCGTTAGATCAAATTTTAAAGACACGGATCACTTGATCCCCTAGGCTTTGGAGGGAAATACCTGGAGAGGATCTCTTTCCTTTATTTACTAACTTTGTCAGCCCAGGAAAATAGACAACTGGTTTTGTTCATAAATTCCTTCGCTTGCTGAGCAATGACTGTTGAATTTTTTATGCCCTACCCGAAATGGCGGTGTACATCCGTTGATTATATTGATATTGATATCCAAGTTGAGATATGATAAATTGACACCTTCAGTGCAAAGTTCGTAAGCAACTTATCGACTGCATGCATTCAAGGCCAAGTCCGGAGTCGAATTCTTTGCAAGCCTCTCTCATATTTGTTTGAAGCAAACTTTGTTGCGAATAACATTGCCTCTACTGGTCATCCAAAGCCTGTACACTAATCCAAATCCTACTATTTTTCATTGCCTTGTGGAAAGGACTCCCCAAATAAGTGTAAAACCCTTGTAAAAATAGCTCTACATATTGAAGGTTAGTCACATTCCGGACTCGAAGTCGGTGGAAAAATTAACTCCGCATTTGGTACGCTAATAAATGTATAACAAAAGAAAAGTAAATAAAAAACAAACTTCTCTAATAAAATAAATCTGAAATTCGTTACAGATGTACATAAATAAAATAAAACTACTATCTTTCTCACTAACACAATCTCAGCTTGTCTAGTTCATGTCTTACCAAATAACTCATCTATAAAATAAAAGGGTGAGGGGTGAGCAACAATCACTGTCGTCCAGTACCAAGAAGAATATGCAATATGTTAGTTAAGCGATGGCGTTTTACACACTCTAAAAAATAGGATATTTGTATAAAATTATATATATCACATAGTTTCATATCACATCATCCTTCCCTTTGTGTTCATTATATCTTTCACCAAATTTAACTCACTACATGACCCATAATAGCCTTTCTACCCTAACTAATATCCCCGTGTGAAGTCCCTCAAAATAATGCATTACGTAAATCACTCACCTCAATAACTAGATCTTCACCAAGACACACTGTCTATTAATCTCCACACATCAAACTCCACAAACCCCAAAACTCTTCTTTTTTTCTTTTTTTTTTTCACTCAGTTTCTCTTGTTCTGTACGTGAGCACTATCCTATTTTTCATGCTGCAAAACCAATGGAGCAAACTCCTATTTATAGTGAAGTACGGAGGTTTTGATTTTTTTTTTTTTAAAAAAAAAACAAACGATATTATCTACATTAAAGGGAGTTGTTAGGCTTCGCTTCACAATGAGCTAGCAATAATGTGGTTCAAATTCATCTTTACAGATAATCGAACCTAAAACATCTTATTTACTGATGAAGAATACTGCTATAATAGTAATCACTAGAAAACGTGCCCGCACGTTGTTGCGGGACTTGAATGCATCACCTTGAACTACATGAATAAGATACATTTTACTTTAATAAATTCAACACAATCATAAAGGAAGAAAGGGATAGATGAGTGAATGAGGTCAGTACGATATGCAGCTTCGTTTTTATATACATTCAACTGAGTTGACATGAAAAGACATTGTATAATGAACAGGACGAAACTGAACGTTTTGGTTCCCTAATAAACAGAAGTAACATACAGTTCACACAAATCTTGCCCCTATAGTCAATGTGGCAAAATATATATCCTATAGGTTAGGCAACATAAAAACTGTTTCGTTCTTATTCTAGCATCAAAGTTTTCAAGCACAAACGTGCAAATCAAAAAACATGCAAGACGCCTGTTTCAGTAAGAAACGGAAGTAACATCCAGTCCACACGTATTTTGTCTTGCAGTTAAGATGGTGTTTCGTTCTTGTTCAAGCAGCAAAGTCTCGAAGCAAAAATGTTGAAAGCCAAAAACATGTAGAACGCCCTGCAGCAGTCGTTCTTGTTCAAGCAGCTAAGTCTTCTGCACTATAGCAAAGAATATAAATCATAGTTTAAAAGAATATCTCACGATGGTCCTGTTTAGAATCACAATTTACTCCCTCCCAATTTCCACCTAACTCCGAACAAACAATGTTGATAAATCTTTATCATCACCTTTAACAAAACAGATCACATCGAAAAGAAGCAAAAAAGTTCCTATGCAAACAAATTCTTCTGGATGTCCAACTTAACCCATCTATGGGAAGACAAGCAATCGGACGTGCATTTAGACCAATGAAAATAAATTATACAATTAAAAACATCAACCGATCCTCCTGAAGAGAACACACACACATGCCAACATATTATTCACTAGATTCTAAGCTTTCATTTTCGTTCTATCCCTTTCGTTATCAAAACAGCAAAAGAATCATAGAGCAACCTTCAATCATTTATCAAAACTGAATTAATTAAACTTCTGCTCAGCACTCCGTTAATTTTAATTGCAACTCTCATTCTAAAAATTAAAAATTTTGCAATTGAATAATCAAACTCACTTACACATTACATTCCTTTTATTGGTTTTTGACACAATACATTTTAGGATTTGATGTTACAATAATATCACTGCAAGCATGAATTGCGATAGATATAGAAACCAAACTTGCACACAAATGTTCGACTGAATTCAGAACCACTTAATTCAACACAAAAAATTACCTCACATGCTTGCTCCCCTTCTGCTCTCACATCGTTGGATGCGCTTCTAAACGATTAATGAAGTCCTAAAACCAGAACAACAAAGAACGTTTACCTATCCAACATTTCAACATAAGCATGATATAGAAAGACAGAAATCCACATGTTGCTTTGTTTTTTCAGAACCAACACCCTCTCCTCTCTCCCCCATATCACACACCCCCACCCCGTGAAGGCACTGACACCAGACCACCTCCCTAGAAACCGGCCCTAAAAACCCATACCCATACCTCCCTTACCCATTACCTTTCTCAAAGCAAAAAGTGTTATATATGATAGTACTCACCCCAATCTGGTTAATGACATTCACTGCATAACGCTCACCAGTAGGTATAGTCTCGCTCTTTAAGAAAGGCCTGAGGTCAAAATTGGCAACAACAAATTAACAAAGCAAAATGAAAGATTAAATCTAGTCACCACAAATATTTTCTAAAATGGAAGATAGACCAGAGTCAAACAGGAAAGGGATAGCAGACACGGTGAGCTTTGTCTTAGTTTGAAAAGAAAAAAGAATAGAAAATTGGGTAGTTTCAGGAGCAATAACTATGTTGAGTATAGTGAAGGGGGAAAGCCATACCTTCCTATGAATGAATTTAAAAGAGGAGATTTTTCTGCATTTTTAGGACAAAAAACGAAGCAGCTAACATTTCTTTCTGTTTTTTGCCTTTTATGATCTTCTGATCTTCTAGTAACATGGATAGCTGAAGCAGAACTGCCATTGTATCCAACATATATCAAATTCGCCAAACTTTGGTTTGGATATAACAGTGTCAAGAGGGCCCACTGGATCTGCAGATTCAGAAAAACTTTGTGAGCCATTCACATATACCTGTCAAAGTGCACAACACCATTAAATGCTAGAGTTGACATCTACCTGTTCATCCACAGAACAGATACAGTGAAGGAGACACAGAAAACAAACCAAGCTTCGAGTCCTGATGTCTAATCTAAATTAGAGAACGCTCACCCAGAAGACAAAGTAATACACATTTCTTAGGAAATTGTTTTGCAGTAGAGGCTATATAAGTGATCATTTCAGCAACCTGTTGCTGAACTTGCGTTTATCAAGACATAATAAAGTAAAGCAAACAAAAAAAGGCATTGTTAAATCTTCCTAACTAAAAATTCATAAAGTAACACCACCAAAACAAACAAAAAAATGCGTTGTTAAATCTTCCTCACTTTAAAGCAAAAATTAAGGAATATCCCCACCGTAAAAAGTAACACCACAAAAAAAAAAAAAAAAAAACAAAAAACAAAAAAGGCTTCGTAAAGACAACAATCTTGTTAAGATACCCCAACTAAATCAGTTAGCAGCAAGAGAACAACATGGCAATGGGAGTCTACAAAAAGGAAAAAGAACAGAAGATATAAAATAGTAGACAAATGGTCATAGTTATATTAATTGAAATTGTTCAAAAAAAAAAACAATGATGAATACATACTTCCTTAGAATAAAAAAATTGATTAATTCATTATAATGGTTTCTTGGAACCCAAGTAGAAAAGGATACAACTTAATAACAATGGAAGCCACAAACCTATGTCATTTCTTATTCGGGATCAAATAGAGCATAACATACTTCCAAAAGTATATAAACGATATATTATAGGTTAGAATCGTTGGATATTAATCTACAGTGAAGGAAGCTGTTAAACATATATGCTTAGGTAAATGATTTTCAGGCACCCTTATTTTTTCTTGCCACTGGACTGAACAAAAAAAATGAGAATGAAGGGCTAAATCACTTCCAGTTAGTCTTCTTATTAGGCTGTGACCAATCTACAGTACATGTAACATCATATTTGAAATCGAATTAACAGTTTTGAATCCTATTTGGATCACCAAATCTTATTTATTGATTCAGAATTGATTAACATCATATTTGGATAGATCAAAGTTAATTTAAAACCTAGAAAATATTAAAATATAATGAATGAGTAACCTCATTTTTATTATATTTTTCGATTTTAATTAAACTACCACTACAGAAAACCATAAGTAATATAAAGATCAAAGGATATGTTATATTAAGTCATACTATATCAAGTTGGACTGAATTAGCCTTGATTTATATAGATCCATTTATAATCGGATTATCAAATTGAGATCCTAGCAATTGCATATTCTTTATTCATGGTACTATAAAAATGGGTATATACTAAGTTGGAATCACTACAGCAAAATAAAAAAAAAAAAAAAAAAAAAAAAAAAAAAACAGAGAATGCAGCATTTTCTCATATTTTCGAATCAATTCTAAACCCTAAAATCATTACGGCTAGACCTTTTATTCACACCTCAGTTGCTGTATCCCTACATCTATGAATCCAATTTCATTCAAGAAACAATGCAGAGGATAAAATCGAAAAAGAAGTATGTACCCATGATTAGTTGTCTCGTTTATTCTTTACAAACTAATCACATATTTAAAATCTAAGTACAAAAGCTTTGCAAAGGTAATAAAAAAAAATGGTGTATAACTAATTAGGCTTTTGAACATGTAATCAGTGTGCAGAATTGTATACCTAAAGATGGCAATGCAGTGTATTCTTCCTCCCAGAATCAGGGTTCCTGAAATTTCCAAAGAAAGTAAATCCGTTAGGAAATCCGAGAAATTGGAGGAGCAAATATCATTAAATTTGAGTTAAATGAGGTAACATACAACAATTAAATGAGATAGTAAACAGATTTCAAATCTAGGAAATGTAATGGTTGAAATCCAACCAAACCTAATCCTTAAACCTATTCAAATTAAAACCATATGCCAATTGGCAAATTGGCATATCAGAGTTGAGTGGAAAATGGTTGACTTGACTAATAAGTGAGTGATGAGTTTAAAACTCATCACATTTTCTCACATGCATTCTCCTTGGTCTTGGGATGGCGCAAAACAAAACCACCATCCCACCACCTCCACCTCCACCTCCACCTCCACACCCACCTCTACACTCACACAGAGTCGCTAATACAACCCAACCCATGTGGCAGACACACATTTCAGACTCCCAATTTATTCACTCATAACTTCATAATTCAAATTAACAATGTGAAACCAAAGATGGTTACATCCTTGGCCTTCACAAATTTTGGTTAGAACTATAACGTTGTTTCAATTTTTAAAATTTGATAACAGCAAGCAACAGAGCAGATAGTATTAAGATCAAAAAAGCATTCCAGAAACCGTGGGAAAACTGTAAAAGCTAAAAAACTGTGATGGTGGAACGGATTAAATTTGTGAGAGTGCAACAAACAAAGGGTATATCTCAGAAGGGTTTAACTGACGACCAATCATTTAGACTTGATAATGTTCTGAATTATCAGCCAGATAAAGCTGTTAAGATGTATTTTGGAATCAGTCCTCTCACCGATCAATTAATTCAAATCGTAGTTAAATACTAATAGTGGCTTTAAAGAATGTAGGCTTGGTTTTAAAATAAAATAAATAAATAAATAAACCTAGAGCTTTCAGTTTAAGCACCACCCTCCAATGCCAATAGAAAACACACACAAACAGGACATGATTAACATGAAAATGAAGCTGAAACGAAAGTAAAGTTGAGCCTAAGTTGAAATGGATTAAAAGGATGATTTTTGCAGTTGAAGAACAACATTGTTACCATTCAAATACAAACATATAAGAGAATAACATATGTTTGAACTCTTTGTTCAGCGTTGAAATAGATTTGGATGACTAAGAACTCCCACTGTCAACCCTTTGGTACCACTAAAGAACTGTATATTTATTTGCAGATGATCAATTGAAACACCCCACAGATCAATTAATTCAAATCATAGTTAAATACTAATAGTGGCTTTGAAGAATGTAGGCTTGGTTTTAAAATAAAATAAATAAATAAATAAAGCCAGGAAATTAGTCTTACTCTTCTCAAATTGATGTTTCACACTTTTAGTTGCATGCCAAAAAACCAGGACATGTGTATGCTGGTGTTCTCAAATCCAAATAATACAAAATGATTCTCTCCAAGTTAGAAAAAGGACACTATATACTGTATCAATAAAAAAATAGAAGGAAAAAGTTTTCATGAATAAGGAGATGATAACGAAAGGTTTAGGATATACCTGCTGCTATGAATTACAGATTCCTGTGGATGAGGCTCTTTGTTTCTCAAAAACTTGCAGGTGGTTGAGCTGCAAGGATACATGACATGGTGAGCATCTGCCCCTCAAGTATTCATATCTACAAACCCTCCTCTAAAGAAAAATTCATCCAGAAATTAATCACTGAGTATGCAAGGTTGGCTTGCATATTCACGTTTAATCGTGGCCAGGATGATAGGAATTAAAAAAATACGAAAACAGGATGATGTAACTTTACTTAGATTTCAGGATTCTAAAACCTATTGCTGAGATTTGAGAAACATAGGAAATGTGTTTCATGATTTCAAATTAGATTTGCATAAGAGTTCAGAAACGCAGACATGCCTTCTTTGCATTCCCCTAAATGCTAAATGCTAAACCCTAAACCCTAAGCTTTCAACACCAAAACACCCAAATAGTACCAAAATTTTGCAATGTGCAGGGAATATACTAAAAAAACTTAAGCACCATCTATCTAAACAAAATCAAAGAACCCAAACCATATACAAAATCTCCAAAATCAATTTACCCAACCCCTAAATATATAATAATAATAATAATAATAATGATTCGAGTAGAAATTCCAATCCATTACAACAAAACACAGAATACCAGGTATTGATGGATGTAGATATCTAAAACAGCGGCACCCATCAATTGATCTAATTACGTATCCATTCCCTATCCATGGCATACAAAGTATGTACTCCCTGTTTACATGTTCTAAAACATTTAGTAGACCAGCAATCAAAATTAACAACCCTAATTGTTGAATACACCAAGCTCTCCAACTGAAAATGTTTAATTAAATTTTCCAACTTAAAACCCTAAATTAAATCCTACAAATTGAAATAGCAGAAACAGAATTAGAGAGAAGGAAGAAATCACTGACCTTCGAGTTGTTGAAAGCTCTGACGGGTGTTTCTTTTCATCCAGCCCTAAAAACAGAACCTACAATTGTAATATAATAACCAATCATTGGTCAAGAATCAAATTAACCCAGCCTGTGTATAGAAAAATTGAACAAATTTAAACATTTATATGTATGTATATTCCAGTAAATGCACTGAACCCTAAATTGCAAAACTACGTCAGACTGATTGAAGAAGAGAAACAGAGAGGGAGAGGGAGAGTGAGTGGGACGGAGAGAACCCTAAAAACAGAACCCTCTGGCAACCTAATACAAAATCAAGCCAACAAATTCCATTTCAATTTTGACAAAAGAAATCGAAAAAGAATAATGAAAACCGGAACAAATTACAGAGGAACTGATGGGTTTATGCATCAGCAACGTGATAAAACCCAGAAACACAAAACATAATATGTATCAGCTACAAAAACCCAAATAAATAAATAAAACACTCAAATTTCTATGTAAAAGCAAACATATTTTGACCCCAAAACGAAGATGTCATATATGGAGGAAGAGAGAAGCAATAGAGAGGGAGATACTAACTCAAACCCACCATCTCTTTACAGCCAACACACTTATTCCCTCAACCCTACCCTCAAATCTTGTACCCAATCAACTCTCTCTGTCCCCCTAATTGTGCACCCATCGTCACCTTCTCTCTGCAACCAAGGACATGATTAACATGAAAATGAAGCTGAAACGAAAGTAAAGTTGAGCCTAAGTTGAAATGGATTAAAAGGATGATTTTTGCAGCAGAAGAACAACATTGTTACCATTAAAATACAAATATATAAGAGAATAACATATGTTTGAACTCTTCGTCCAGCGTTGAAATAGATTTGGATGACTAAGAACTCCCACTGTCAACCCTTTGGTACCACTAAAGAGCTGTATATTTATTTGCAGATGATCAATTGAAACACCCCACAGATCAATTAATTCAAATCATAGTTAAATACTAATAGTGGCTTTAAAGAATGTAGGCTTGGTTTTAAAATAAAATAAATAAATAAATAAAGCCAGGAAATTAGTCTTACTCTTCTCAAATTGATGTTTCACACTTTTAGTTGCATGCCAAAAAACCAGGACATGTGTATGCTGGTGTTCTCAAATCCAAATAATACGAAATGATTCTCTCCCAGTTAGAAAAAGGACACTATATACTGTATCAACAAAAAAATAGAAGGAAAAAGTTTTCATGAATAAGGAGATGATAACGAAAGGTTTAGGATATACCTGCTGCTATGAATTACAGATTCCTGTGGATGAGGCTCTTTGTTTCTCAAAAACTTGCAGGTGGTTGAGCTGCAAGGATACATGACATGGCAAAAAATTAGAGGGAAAAAGAGTTTGTATCCAAACACAGTAAGGAGAATTATATTAGAAAATAGTTTGTATAAAAGTTAACAAAAGTTAACAAAAAATTTTTAAATGGATTAAGAAATACCTCAGTAATGGTCTCTTTGGTGGCTGTTGTGTGAATGAGGGGTTTGATGTGTATGCTTTTGCTGGATCTACATGCATATGAAAAATAAAATTTATAAGTGCATCCCAAAAATACAGAAGCAACCAAGAAATGGAAAAACAACCTAGGAACATAGAGATATTCGAATGATGTGTATCCTTTTCTATGTCATTTCATATCAATATAACACCCCTATACGTACACACACATACCAAAACAACCTACATTCAGATTTGCATCATATCCTTGTTTCTAACTCTCTGGGGAATTTTCACAAACACCTAATAGGCAAGATTTGCTTCCATTTAAAAGAAATCTGATTTAATCAGTGATCTCAATTGCATGTATATCTGAACGACCATGCTTGTTAGTCAGTCATGTTATAGGATGTATTTAACACTTACCAAGCGGTTCCAAAACAACATCCTACATACATATTATGTTGCCAAACTATGAATCAAGACCGAACTTTCCTACTTTGGTAATGTAATCTCCTAGTCTAGTTACAATTTGGTTCCTGTATTTTGACCTGAAAACAATTTTGGTCCTCTAGAAGTTGCCAATGGCACCCGAACTGTAACTGGAAAACAACTCAGACACAACTATGAAAAATTAAAACTCCAGGCACCAAAGTGTGAGAACAAAGAAACCAAAATAGTTAAATCTACCCTTTTATATCATACATACCATTAAAAATTTGTTTAGAGATAAAAATGGTAGTCATAGTAGAGAATCCAACCTGACCAAAGAAAGTGGATTTCCTCACTTTCTAGTGCTATTATTACCGTGCTTGAGACTATTCAAAGATGAAAAAAGTGGAAATTTCATGCAATATGAAAACAAATACCTGATAGTTAATACTGCTTACCATAGAAGCTAACAATCTTATTTTGTACGAAAAACATGAAGATCACTAAAAGACACCAGAATATAACTTTCATCAATGACATACTTTATGAGAATTTTGGATCCAAAAGTGGCTCCAATAAAATAAATTTAGGCTTGTATATGCAATATATTAACATGAGAAAAAAAACATGCATCCCTAATGAAATAATGAGGAGAATGGCTTTTGACCATTTGTTGTCTTTGATACAACTCTTTTCATCCATGCCTTCATGTTTGTATCCTTTGGGACATTGACATGAATAATTTCCAGGTGAATTTATGCATGTTTCAATATCTGGAAAGTAAGGAACCATGGACGAACATCAATTAAAATCCCAATTTTTAAATTGGTTGAATTGGGAAAGAACTATTTGTACATTCACATGGTGTTGAGAGAAATAACCTTGAAAATAAAGCACTATACATACACAAAATCTGTTCAGTATAAAAAGTAGCAAGAAACAAATGTAATTTTCAGCTTCTAACTCATCCATTTGATCAACATATTGATGGAACAAATGTAACTTTCAGTTTCTAACTCATTCATTTGATCAATATCATCCAAGTCAGAAAAGATAGAACATAAAAATGATCAGGATATATAAATAGGGGCTTCATCTGAGTCAATATCAGCCACCATTCCCTAAAAAATTGATGTCAGGACTCTGCCAAGCATCTATGAAGCCCCTTCAAAAAAAGACACTTGTTAAGGAACAAAACGGTGAAGAATACAAAAGGTAAGTAGCGACAATCATCAACTCAGCTACAAATCCAGCACAATAGCCAATGTCTTCCTCTCTTTTAGCAATATGCAAATCCCTAATCTGCAAACAATAATTTGGAATCTTGAGATACCAAATCGACTTCAACAGGGTTTGAAGGTTGCATTTTTCATAAAATTTAAAAACTAAAAGCAACAACAATATTAATAAGTGAGCACTCACCAAAAAATAAAGGAATGGAAAGAGCGATGATATTGTCAGTGCTACAAAACGATCATCAAACAATAGATCAAGGTTAAAACATTTATAAAAAAGTTAGAAGATGGTGCAGATATAAACATTACTTAATAAAATTGATAAATGATTTCGAGCATGACAATGCAATCAAATTACAGGATCAGCTCTTCCGCCTTCAAACACACTCATCAACACCATATTAAATTTCACATTTTTAGGCGAGGGTAAACTACCAGAAACGAAAAGGATTTATACCTTTTATTAAAGATCTACAGCCTTGGTTCCTCCGCCATTGCTTGTCTTCTCCTGCCTGGGTTTTACATTCCTGGCAGTCTCCTTCTTCCTTGGTAGTTTTTTGTCCTGCAAAGAGAAAAAAATTAGGATTAAATTCTAAATGCAAGGTTCCTTGATTCTTCTGCTTCAGAAATTTGTTGTCGCATAGCCAAAAATTAGAGAAAATAGGCTTTGGTTCAGAACTTACTCATTCTCTGCAGACACGGGTTCCTCCTCAATTTTTGTCATCCTCCTCTTTCTGCGATCTCTCTCTGTCTCTCTCCTTGTCTCTGTGCAATCGTTCCCTCCCTCTCCCTCTCTCTCTCTCTCTTTCTGCGTTCTTCCCTCTGTGCAAGCCCATACTCACCAACTCCCTTAATCAACTCTCTCCATTCTCTGTCCGTGAAGCATCAATAATCTGAAAACCCAGTTCGATTTTTCATTGCTCGGATGGAGAAAATTAAGGAATGAAAGAACAAATTAGGGTTAGCACTAAAGTTGAGAGCGATGGACAATTGAGACAAAGGAAGAGTCTAAAAGAGAGAGAAACATAAAGGATTAGAGAGAGGTTGAGTGTGACAGAGATGAGGGGAAAACACGGGATGGGATTACCAATCCCTGAAATCAAATCCCTCAAATCACTCATCTGAACGTGCAACAGAGCATGGTCCCATCGACCCCATTCCGGTTCAGAAACAAAGGAAATGAAAGTTCCCCTCTAACCAATGCTCGTTCAATCACCGACAACAACAATTGATTTGGGGATAAAAAATCAACCCTAACCCCCTTTTTGGCAGCCTCACTCCTCCCTCTCCCTTCCCCTCCCTGCCATCCCACGCCTCTCTCCCTGAAATCCGTCCACAAATCCTCCCACATCAAATTTAGATCAAACCCTAATTTCTAGAATAATGATAAAAATCGACAAAAAATATATCCAATTGGCACGTTACCATTGATTCGAGTTCTGGTAAGGAGTGCGGCGGCGAGGTAAGGCGAGGTGTGCGAAGGCGAGGGGAAGGCGAGGTGTGCGACGGTGAGGCGCTGAATCGACTTTGTCGTTGAAGAGCTCTGGAGCAAAATGGGCTTGTCGTCGAAGAGATCTCTGGAACAACATCGGGTTTGCTTCCATCCCCCACCCTTTCTACGATGGTCGACACGTACACGCTGAAGGATGGCAATTTCGTAAATAAATTGAAAATTTCAATCTGAAACTGAAGAGGCGGTGGCAATTTTGTAAATAAACTGAAATGTGATGCAAAACACTGTTCATTTCTACAGTGCAATTTTGCCAGCTTCTTTAGACTAAAGTAATATATACAAATACTTAAACCTCTTATCAGTATTTATCCCTTTTGAAACCTGTCAACACAATACCAAGACCAATGGATAAATAATGCAACTTTCTGCTATTTTGCTGGAATTACAGACGCTGAAACATTTAAGCCACCTACCACTATTTGTTTTCTTATTCATCTCTCTAAAGCCGACGTACTCTTCTCATTCTAGAATACTCCAACTCAAACTTATCTTCCTAACTCTAATTCAAACTTATCTTCCTAACTAATACGTACAACTTGATAAAATGCTTATTAAGCATCAATGATTCATCCAAGTAAAAATAATATAATGTACAACTTTCCATGATTTACTATATTTATACTGAAGTGGCATTTTCAAATACTCAAACCCCCAGAGTTTCATGTGTGCTAACACTTTTATATAATTTTCATGAATCTAATCGTCAATTGATAAAGCTACTTTTATAAGGGTTTTGTTACATTTGATTATTTTGCGCTTTTGAATTGAATAATCAAAATGAAATAGTGTAAGAGAAGAAAAATCTGATAATCATTCTTAAAAGCTTTCGTAAGAGTGATAACTTTGAGACTTTTTAATATTTTTTTTAAGGGTGATTCTTTCTATATTTTTTCAGATTTACGTAGTGCGGGGCATGTTTGTCCATCTATGGACATATTATTCAAGACACGAATGTAGTGTTACCTTAAATCATCGGAGATGGCTTTACCCACGTTCATCGACATGCCAACGGTGTTGCACATCACCTTCCTCGAATTGCACTTCACATAAGAGCAACTCCACCCCTATCCACTTTGCGCCAGCACCCAGCCCATTTATCCACTTAATTGAACAGTAACAAACTCAATGAACAGTAATAGGCCAAAGCATCTCCACCCAAAAAAAAAATGTGCTGGCACCTAGTCTAAAAATGCGCTGGCACAAACGATCTCCACCCCTACAAAATGCGCTGGCACCCAGTCCATTTAAAATATTAAATAATTTTTTTATAAAATAATAAAAAAAAATAGTTTTAATTTCGGATAGGATTTTTAACCAATCTCGTCACGCCACGTGTCATTATCCGAACGTACTATTTTTTGAATAGATTTCCGCTAAGATTTTCAATCAATCCCGACAACCCACGTGTCACTTCCTGTTTACAATTATTTAGGCAAGATTTCGATAAGATTTTTAACCAATCTCGTCACGCCACGTGTCATTATCCGAACGTACTATTTTTTGAATAGATTTCCGCTAAGATTTTCAACCAATCACGTAGTGCCACGTGGCATTGTCCAGAACCTCATCTTCTTCTTTTTTGTCCATATAAACCCTACATCCCTACATTCATTCTCACACTAAACTCAATCCTTTTTTTTAGCTCAGAATTCTTCTTTATCGTTTTCAAATCTTGAGTTCTTACAATGTCTTCTTCAAGGAGAGCGTATAAACAGTTGCAAGAGCGGCAGAAAAGGTTGTTGGCACAACAAGAAGAATTGGTCAATCTTGACCAAGATGGAGGTGGAGATGAGGTCTTCGCAATGGAGGAGGATGAGGATGATCACCATAGAAGGCGGAGGGCCTCACATTCCCGCCGTATCATGCAAGCTATGGGTCAGATAGCCAAACCCGGACGTGCGGCAAACATCGATAGAAGAAGGGAAAGACGAGGTAAAGATCTCTTGGAAGATTATTTTATTCCCAACAGCGTTTACCCTGATCATGTTTTTAGACGTCGTTTTAGAATGCAACGAAGTTTGTTCGCTAAAATCATGAGTGATGTTTGCAACCATGATCCATATTTTGTGCAAAAAGAGGATGCTTTTCATGTGCTAGGTCTTCTTCCTGAGCAAAAAATTACGGCTGCCTTGCGAATGCTTGCATATGGAGCATCTGCAGATCAAGTGGATGAGATCGCAAGGATGGGAAAAACAACAGTTCTGGAGTCCCTGATGCGGTTTTGCTCTGCAATTGAAGCCCTCTACACCAATGAGTACCTTCGGCAACCCACGTCAAGGGACATGCGAAGGCTTCTGAGGAAGGGTGAGATGCGAGGCTTCCCTGGCATGATTGGAAGCATCGACTGCATGCATTGGACATGGAAAAACTATCCAAGTGCGTGGCAAGGAGCTTATGGCGACAGAAAAGGAGCCAAAAGCATCATTTTGGAAGCGGTGGCTTCTTTTGATACATGGATTTGGCATGCTTTTTTTGGTGTTCCAGGAGCTCAGAATGACCTAAATGTCCTTGCCCAATCTCCAGTGTTTGACGAACTGCTACAAGGGCGTGGGCCGAGATGCACATATTGGGTTAATGGTACTAAATACGAGGGACCATACTACCTTGCAGATGGTATTTACCCAAGGTGGTCAACATTTGTCAAAACAGTGCCACACCCGCAGAGTGAAAAAGATAAACACTTCGCAAAGTGTCAAGAAGGGTGTAGGAAGGATGTCGAGGGTTGTTTTGGTATCCTGCAAGCTCGTTGGGCCATTGTCAGGGGTGCAGCTAGAATGTTTGATGTCGAGGCTCTTCGATCCATCATGATGACGTGTATTATTCTCCACAACATGATTGTTGAAGACGAGTATGATTATGATGCCGTCGATGAATACGAGCCGGATCCGATGAACAACTCAAGAACACAAATCTACTATGCTCATGACCGGACCGAAGATCCCGTGCAACACGAGCCGTTGGAACGGGATGGACGTTACAATGAATTGATCGTTCAACGATACACTTCATTGCAAGAGCCATACTGGCACATAGCCCGCCAGAATGACTTGATTGACCATCAGTGGAGATTGCACGAAGGCGAAGATAATTAAAATAAGGCTTGTGGTTGAAGAATAAAGTGTATTGTTTTTTAAGTAATCTTATTTAGTGTGTTTGCTTTTTTTTTTAAGTTTAAATGGTGAGGTTATGTAATTTTATTTGGTGTTTTAAGTTTAAATGGTGAGGTTATGTAATTTTAAGTTTAAATGATGTTTTAAGTTTAAATGGTGTTTTATGTAATTTTATTTGGTGTTTTAAGTTTAAATGGTTTTTTTTTTAAGTTTAAATGGTGAGGTTATGTAATTTTAAGTTTAAATTAAATAAAGTTCTAAAAGTAAATAAGAAATTACATAAGAAATTAAATAAAGTTCTAAAAGTAAATAAGAAATTACATAAGAAATTAAATAAAGTTCTAAAAATAAATAAGAAATTAAATAAAGTTCTAAAAATAAATAAGAAATTACATAAGAAATTAAATAAAGTAGTACAAATAAATGCGAAATTATACAAAGTCTGTGGAGTTAGGATATGTGGTGCTAGGATCTTGGTTGCTAGGATTTCTGTAGCTGGAACCCCCTTGACTTGTTTCGGCATCTCTTGCACGCCTCCTTCGCACGACATCTCTTTTTTCTGATGTCCAAAAATATTTTGAATTCGGAGACAGTCCTACTAGAGACTTGTTCATAGTGTCACGATCTGTTTGAGCCATCCTTTCTTCTCTAAGCATCTCATTCTCTCGATGAAGTGCTTCTCTAATCATCTCGTTCTCTCGATTAACTATTTCTCTTTGTCTCTCAGACGCCGCATCACGAGCCTCAGTAGCTGCAATAATTGCTGCCACAGCAGCAGCTTTTTCCTCATCTCTAGCCTTTTCCCATGCCATGTTCATTTCACCTTGACGAGTAAGTTCCTCCATATATTTAGTGTAGTCATTTCTGGCATCTTTTCCATGTACATCTTTTCCATGTACATCGTTGAACGATTTCGTAATTTTACTCCACATTTCTCACTTATCCATCTCATTACCCGTAATCGGGTCATGAGTAGTGCGTACCCAACATTCACACAACGTAACATCTTCACTGAGCTTCCACGAAGTCATTTTTTTCTCTCAAAGTGTACAAAATATTTAAATGTAGAAAGTGTAGAAAGTGTAGAAAATATTGAAATGTGGTGTAAGGTGGAAGATGAGGGTTAGGTATTTATAGAAAAAAAATTTAATTTTTTAAAATTTTTCTGTATTTTTTAAAAAAATTTTGACATTTTTTAATTAATTTTTAATAAATTTTAATGTTGTAATTAATCGGGACCGTTGGATTTGAAAAATAATCAAATCCAACAGCACTCATTACGCCACGTGGCCAACGGTCAAATTTCTGACCGTTGGGCCTTTTTTTTTTTTTTTAATTTTTGGTGAAATAAACGTGGACCGTTGATCTGTGATCGGACGGTCCAATTTAAAATTTAAATTTAAATTTTTTTTACCGTTGGAAATCCAACGGCCTAAAAAACTAGCCGTTGGAAATCCAACGGCTCTGAGGAGGGCCACGTAGCCCTCAGCCGGATGACTGCAAGTTGCCCTGCCACGCGGGCCCCACCGCCTGCAAAGCTGTCGGCTACTCGCCTGGCCTCCCGCGTGTTGTGCACGCGCCAGAAACAGACCGGGGAATGGGTCTGTCCATTTTGGGCTGGGCTCTTGACTGGCACGGGCTGGGTGTCAGTCAATTTTGCGGGCTGGAGCTTATTTCATGCAAGCCGGACCATTTTCTTCACTTGGTGCCAGTCAATTCTGTCCGGGCTGGACTTGCTCTAAGACTATAAAATATGATTTGAAGAGCCTCTTGCTTTTATTTATAATATATTGTTTGTGTGGATTGTAATTCACGAGGACGACGTGGCGTTGAGTCTAATACTGTCCAATTGTACCAAACTACTTTTTGATATAATAAAATAGTATCACTTTGAGTAAAAAAATAAGAACATAGAATCATTATCAAGTGGAAGCATTTTACGTTCAAAACTCTGAAAATGCTCGATTTCATGAATAATAATGACGTGACAGTGACATCGTCCAACCGAAATAAGGGCCGAACAGATGGGACTTGGATCGTTTGCCCTTCTCATTCCATATCCTTTCCACCCCTTCCTATATTCTGTAATTATAGTTAAGACACGTTAATATTTTATATTCTTATTGATTTTTGTTTTATTATTTTTATAAAAAAAATTAATATAAAATGTTGACGTACTTTAATTATAACCACATAAATAAATAAAAGATAAGAAGGATATGGAATGGGAATGACAGACAATTCAAGTCTGATCAGAAAGTAGCCCAACTAAAAACCCTGACTAACAATGACGTGACAGTGACATCATCCAACTGAAAACCCCGCCAACCAGCAACAAGTTAACAGCTGTGACATCGAATTCATTAAAAAAAAAATCAATTAAAAAACGTGTTTTTCAGAGAAAAAGAAAATAATGTAATCTTTATCCAATCCGTTTCGGTTTTCAGCAATCGGGAAGAAATGGTGCAAATTTTCAGATTACTGATCCGATTCAACGAATTCAAAAGCGACGGCGGAGAAGATTGAGAAACACCGATGCCGGCTCCGACGAGCTCACAGTCAGCAGCAATGACTATACTTCACAATGCCACCATCGTCACCATGGATACCGACCGCCGCGTCTTCCGCAACGGGGGGATCGTCATCGAGCGAGATGCAATCAGAGCCGTCGGTCAGTCTTCGCAACTTCTCCCTCGCCGGTCGGGTTTTCGATCTCAACGGCCAAATCGTCCTCCCTGGGCTGGTAGGCCGGTCCACTAATGACATAACTTGCGTTCTAAGTTACATTTAAGGGCAGAGTCTCAGCTTTACAAGGCACCATAACACGGGGGACGGGCGCATCAGAGTTTGGCTAGGAATTAGGCAGATTATGAAAGCAACTGATGATTTGCTGCTTGCAACAAAGAGACACTGCCATGGAACTTAAAACTGGAATCCACATTGTATAATACTTGAACCATATGTGGGTCTGCACATTGGAACAATGATGGTTGGACCTGGAAATTCATGGATAGTTTACTTCCTTGCAGTTGATGAGATGTGCCTGGCTTCTCTGATTAACAAAGGACGGGAAGTTCATACAAATGGAACTACTGATCCTACTGCTCTTGTTGCTGAAACAGTACTCTCGAGTTGGCGACTACAAATGGTGCAAAATCAGTACTTTGAGATGATGAAATAGGATCCATTGAGGTCGGGAAAAAGGTTGAACTTTTGGCTAGCTCGATTAGTTTCTCTTGTCCTTCTGCTTCATATCTCTCATATAACGTTCTCTTTAATTAAGGTCATAACCACATATGTGCATATACCAGCGGATTTTAAACACGAGGCTGATTAGCTTCCTTCTTCAATGTTTTGGCGGGCTGACTTGGTTGTTATCAATCCTTCCTCTTGGACTATGGTTCCTCTCCATGACAGGGAAGGACCATCCCCAAAGTAATCATCTGCCGTAATTTTATTTCTACCCAACACCCTTAAACTTTACAGATGAATAAGGATCAACTAGATTTGCATCCATGCCACATTTTGTTATGAAAAAGGCATGCTCATGTTCTTTTACAGACTTTGACAGTTTCCATTAGCAATGGCATAGATATTGATTTATAAATGTATGGCCATCTGTCGGAACTATGATTTTTCTAAGTAAGTTTTTGGCTTTTCAGCGGATCTGGTTCCAATCTAATCTGTATAAAAAAAATCTACGTCTTGTTTGCCTGCAACACAACCCTTTGTTCAGGTAGATTAATCAAAATGTAGCTTCTGTAATGTGTAATGGCCTATGGATTATGAAGGATAAGAAGATTTGGAACGTGGATGAGGTATTCTGTCATACTTTTTGCTTATTAGACATACAAATAAAGATTAATGGCAGATAGCCAGGCCCCAAATTTCATTGTTTACTTACGGGTTCCAATTATAACCGGACAGGAAGAAGTTCTTGCAAAGGCAAAGCAAGCTTCCGCAGAACTTTCGAAGTGGGCAGGGATCAAAATAGCAATTGCCAAGAAGAATGAATTTTCTTTAGGCTGAAGAAACGCCACACGTGACTCATGAGGCAATGGATGAAGGGATCGCTTCGTGACAGTATGCTACTATGCTTGAAGTAGCAGATGTTGGTTTATTGAACATAGGAGGGAAGAGAGACGAGAGACACGAATGCCATAAATGATATCAGTTTGTCCCTCAGTGAAAGAGGTTTGAAACTTTAAAAGGGTTGTGAAGAAGTGCCTGTTGATAGAATGGATACTTTAGGATGTAGTGCCCATAGCTCATGAAAATATATAGGATAAATTACACAAAACTACCTCAATTATTGTTCTCATGACACTATCATACCTCATATTTTAAAATTGACAATGTCATACCTCATCTTTAGAATTTGGTCTAATGTTATACCTTCCGTTAGCTTGGCCATGAATTTCTCAATTAAATGCTGACATGGCTTGATTCGGGCCCCATTTTCTATTAAAAAAATAATAATTTACCTTTAAAAAAATAATAAATAAATAACCAAACCCAAACACCCATATTCCCTGACCCCTTCCCCTTCCCCCATTTCTCTCACTTAAATCAAGTTCTCACTCCCTTCTTCTATCACTTTGAATATGATTTCTTCTTCCTCCTCCTTAACCCCCCACCCTTCTCTCCCCTTCTTCCCCACTACCACCGGCGCCACCGTTACGCCTACCACCGTTGAAAACCCACCTCAAAAATGGGCAAGGGTGGCTCCCTGAGCGAGAGTGTGATAAAAAAGATCTTCCTCTCCTACACCTATGTCGCCATATGGATCTTCCTTTCCTTTAGTGTCATTGTCTACAACAAATACATCCTCGACAAGAAGATGTACAATTGGCCATTTCCCATCTCCCTCACCATGATCCATATGTCCTTCTATGCCTCCCTCGCCTTCCTCCTCGTCGAAGTCTTCCACCTCATCAAGCCATCACCATGTCCTGCGACCTTTACCTCTCCTCTGTCGTCCCCATTGACGCCCTCTACTCCCTATCCCTCTGGCTCTCCAACTCGGCCTTCCGAATGCTCAAGGCCCTTATGCCCGTCGCTGTCTACTCCATCGGCGTCTCCTTAAAAAAAAAGTCATTCAAGACCGACACCATGGTCAACATGATCTTCATCTCCATCAGTGTTGCCATCGTCGCCTACGGTGAGGCCCGATTCGACACCTGGGGCGTCATCCTCCAGCTGGTGCTGTCACATTCGAGGCCACCCGCCTTGTCTTAATCCAGATCCTCCTCATATCCAAAGGCATTACCCTTACCCCATCACATCTCCTTACTATGTTACGCCTTGCTGCTTGGCTTTCTTTTTCGCCCCCTGGATCTTTGTCGAGTATCCAGTTCCGCGTGATTCGTCGAGCTTCCGTTTCGATTTCTTGATTTTGGGACCAATTCTATATGCGCATTTGCTCTGAATCTCGCTGTGTTCTTGCTCATCGAAAAGACCTCGGCATGGGTGGGGAAGGGGTCAGGGGTTGTAGGAAAGGGGAAGGGATATGGGTTGTAGGGAAGGGAAAGATAGGCGTTTGGGTTTTTTTTTTTTTAAGAATAAATTATTATTTTTTAATATTTTATTAATTTTTTAATAGAAAGTGAGCTCCGAATCAAGCCACTTCAGCACTTAACTGAGAGATTCAAGGTCAAGCTAACGGAAGGTATAATATTAGACCAAATTTTAGATGAGGTATAACATTGTCAATTTTAAAAGATAAGCTATGATAATATCGTGAGACCAATAGTTTAAGTAGTTTTGTGTAATTTACCCAACTATATAATTGGCACTTGAAAGGAGAAACATGGATTTGTAATACGAGAAGCGATTTATGGACACTCTTTTTATCTTCTGTATATCCTTAATTTTACTCCTCACATCCAAAGGCATTACCTTTACCCTATCACATCTCTCTACTATGTTGCGTCTTGCTACTTGGCTTTCCTCTTCGTCCCCTGGATCTTTGTCGAGTATCCAGTTTTGCGCGATTCGTCGAGCTTCCATTTCGATTTCTTGATTTTTGGGACCAATTCTATCTACGCATTTGCTCTGAATCTTGTCGTGTTATTGCTCGTTGGAAAGACCTCGGCATGGGTGGGGAAGGGGTCGGGGGTTGCAGGGAAGGGGAAGAGATCTAGGTTGTAGGGAAGGGGAAGATTTTTTTTTAAGGATAAATTATTATTTTTTAATATTTTATTAAATTTTTAATAGAAATTGGGCTTCAAATCAAGTCATGTCAGCACTTAACTGAGAGATTCAAGGCCAAACTAATGGAAGGTATAACATTAGACCAAATTCCAAAGATGAGGTATAACATTGTCAATTTTAAAAGATGAGGTATAACAAAGTCGTGAGACCAATAGTTGAAGTAGTTTTGTGTAATTTACCCAAATATATAATTGGCACTTGAAAGGAGAAACATGGATTTGTAATACGAGAAGCGATTTATGGACATGCTTTTTATCTTCTGTATATCCTTAAATTTAGCCCTCGACTCTAGAAAAAAGGGGAGGGGGATGCTGCAAGTGAAACATAGTGTCAAAAATCATATATGCCATATGTTTTATGTTTGTAATTGACTGCTATCAAACCAGGATAGTGTATCCATTTTTTTACACCTAAGTTCAATTAGAGTTTTTTCATTTTAATACGAGCGATATATTTACACTTAAAGAATGACATATTAAACTGTCACACAATAGGTTGAACATTGGCATTTGGTTACAAACTCGGCATTAACAGGTGTCGACTTAAGATGAATGTTACTAAATCGTAATGCTAAGTGACAAATTCAATTAGAATTACATTAAAACTTTCATAAGTTCGATTAGGATTAAAATAACACGTTTACTTGTCAGGAATGAATATACATTTTTCTTATTCCTAACTTCTCCAACTCCTACTACGTAAACATGCCCTAATTGAAATTTGATTAGGATTGGGAATCCACGTGGGATTAGGATCGGCTGGACTTCTAATCAAAGTGGCGCTGATAGCCTAATCTCATGCTTTATAGGCTAAACGGCAGCGTTTCCGTCTCTGTAAACAGAGATACGTCAGCATCTACAAGTTTATATACTTGAAACTTCTGGAACTTTCGCGCTCTTCCTCGACGCCGATCAAATTTCCCCTTTTCAGTATAAATATCCCAAACCCTTCGTTTCTCAACCAACAAATTAGAAAAAATTCCTGAGAAAAAAAAATCTTCGTCTTCGTCTAAGCTCTCATCAAATCGTCGTTGATTCAAGGTTTTCCAGATTCTCGTCACCAATGGATCCATTCTTCAGAAGGCATTGGCACAATTTCGCCCCACAACATCAGTACCAGCAGACCAATTTCGCGTCACAACATCAGTACCCGCAGAAGGCGAGGGAAGTCCCAGTTCAGCGCCGAGCGGACCCGTCGCCGAAGGTGGTCTCGATCCCGGTTCAGTACGTCGGGTTGGAGCGCAGGCGGTCCGATTCGGCGCTGAAAATCCAGAAGGCGTTCAGAGGGTTCCTGGTGAGGAAAAGCGTGAGGAAGATCGCGGCGATCAGAGTCGAGGTCGGCGAGATCGAGAAGCGGATTTCTAAGCGTGAGGCGGTGGAATTGATGAGGAGGGACGCCAAGGAGCGGCTGAAGGTGAACGAGACGCTGATGAACTTGCTGTTGAAGTTGGATTCGGTGAAGGGCGTCGATTCCGGGGTTAGGGATGTCAGGAGGGCCGTGATAAAAAAGGCGATTGCTTTGCAGGAGAAGGTGGACAGCGCTGTTGCTGAAAATCCCCAAATCGACCAAACCCTAGAATTGCAATCCGAATCCCCTTTAAATTCGGATGAGACTCAGAATTCGCAGTCTCTGGAATTGGAATCGGCAGCCGAGCCCCAAATCGAAACTGTCCCACACGGCAATGCGTGGGGGTGCAGAGAGGAAGAAGACTCTGTGAGTGATAGCGAGTCCTCTGGATCGTCTTGTGAGGATTCGCCGAACCCGATGGAGGATGGGGTGGAGGATGTTAAGGTGGTGGAACGAGAGGAGGCGGCGGAGGAGGAGGGAGCTGGGGAGATTGTGAAGGATGATGAGAACAAAAGGAGCAGTAGCAGAGAGCTGCTGGAGAGGGTGGCGGAGGACAACGCGAAGATGATGGGAATGATGGAGGAGCTGTTTGAGAAGAACCAGATGCAGACGCGGATGCTGAGCTCGCTGTCGCAGAGGGTGGAGCAGCTGGAGAGGGCGCTTGTGTGTGAGAGGTTGAGGAGAAGGAAGAGGAGGCATGCTGCTGCAACTGCAGATTTCGTGTCCAAGTAACAAGTTATTTCTTTTTGCTAATTACATTTTGGCAAGGATTTCGCGTTCTATAATTCATATGGCGGATCTTATTAGTGGGAAAAAGTTTTATCGTTATTTGTTGTAAAGGATTTGAAACGTGCATTGTATGATGGATGAAATTTGATGCTTTTGGTGTATTAGCTACTTGCGGAATCGATGTGATTACCTAGGAAAACAGCGTCCTCTTGTAAATGTGGCACATTTGGCCCGATTGATGAGATGACATGTGGAGGGCGCATATAAAATTTAATTTGGTCAATTAGGGTGCATAGTGCATATAAAATCTGCAGATGTTCGTATTTGCACTAGGAAAGTTGTATCATCAATGATTGTGTCATTGTGTGTAGTTGACATTGGTTATCTTAAACCAACAAGACGTGTTGTGTTGTAGAATCAGGAAAGATGTCATCTCTTAATCTCTTCTACTTAGGCTACACAATCAAGTGATTTAGACTCTTGAAATTTGATTTAACGGTTAAAAATAGGATTTTTTTAAAAGTTATAATAACTTTAGCTGTTGGATCAAATTTCAAGGGTTTGGATCACTTAATTAGGTGGCTTGGATCAAATTTCAAAGGTTCGGATTACTTGATTAGGTGGCCTAGGTGGAAGAGATTAGTAGATGATCTATTTTTGTAGAATCACTATTTCAAGGGTCTGGATCACTTAATTAGGTGGTTTGGATCAAATTTCAAAGGTTCAGATTACTTGATTAGGTGGCCTAGGTGGAAGAGATTAGTAGATGATCTATTTTTGTAGAATCACTATGGGTGGTCTAATAGTCGAGACGAATTTTAGGTTGTACTTCACACGGCACGTCCTAATTTTGATTCTTGACGTTGCTAATTCGTACAATGTTGGGTAGGAAGAGGTTGAAAATTTTTCCTGACTCTCGAAAAGATAAATTATTGTGACGAAACTACTGTCTGGTTTCATTTAAAAAAAAAAAATTAAAAAAAAAAAAAAAAAAAAAAGAAGAAGAAAAAACTAACAAACAAACGCGTTGTAGAGACTGCTTTATTGGTGGGTCATACAATCCCGCGAATCCACTTAAAATATCTGCCTGGGATTTGAGAAGCTCAAAATGTTGAAACGGACTGTCCAGACCCAACAATAACAGGGTGGTTGTCTACTTTTATTGTTGCACACTTTTGAACTTTTGATTAGTTAGCTGATGAAAATTATTGGCTTTGAGTTTTGTCGTTTCTTTTTTCTTCCAACATTAAAAACTGAAAAGTCGTCACAAGCTTTAAAAAATGCTTTTAATTTTTGTGTATTGAAAAACAAAATTTAACTGTGATCAGAAGTAGACTAAAATGATTTTAGTCATTTCGAGTCTCGCAATTTTTTGGGGTGCGAAATACCTCAAGCTTTGACCTAAAAAAAAAAAAAAGTTGTTGGCTTTAAATTTGGCTTGCAATTTGTAGAGAGGTCCATCGATTCTATTTTATTTTGGGAGAGGGAATCCTGATTTGAGGAATCTACTAGCATAAAGAAGAGAAATATTACTGAAGTGAAAAAATAATTAAAATTGTGAGAGATTTGTTGTTTAAATAATTAGATTTATTTTTCTTTAGAATTGTGAATAACATTATGTGATAAAACGATATTTTTTTTATTCAAATCGGCCAAAGTTAAAGGGAAAATATAAGTTACATTTTCCAATTCACATGTATGCAGTATGTAATACACTCGCATTTAAACACATTAATATTTTGAAAACACAAGTTCTCTCTTTCCAAATTTACCATACTACAATTTATAATGAAACACAATTTCAAAAGCGAGAGTTAATGTTTCAATATAATTGATTTAGAGCGGCCTTTTTTTTTGTTGCTTTTTGGGTCGTCACCTAATCAAGAGAATGTTTTTGGTGTTAGACTTTTTTTTTTTCTTCGTCTAAGTTGAAATATCCGACAAAATTTTTATAGAACCCGTTTATATACACCTTATACTTTATTAATGAATACCGTATCTTTCTTAAAAAATTTACTTGTAACTGGGTCACATGTGACGCAACATGAACAATGAATTAGAGTTCGTGGGCCCCATAGGGCTGGTTTTGGGTTTGGATAAGTACGCAAGACTCGAACCACCCCCGATGGACTTAACGACATTGCGTTCAATCCAGTTTGACGGCCATTGCTCAAAAACAAAAACAATAAATAAAAAACAAAAAATATCGTGAGGTTTTTTGTCATGAAACCTTTTTCCCAGAAGCTGAAAAACAAAAAAATTAAATAAAAAAGTTCAATATTATTAAATTCAAAACTTTGGTTAATTTCAAATTAACTTTTATTTATTCAACTAATCAAGCAACCTGAAATCTTTACTTCTGACCACAACCCAAATCCTCACCCTTTTCTTCTCCCACCTCTCTCTCTCTCTCTACTCTCAGTGTTGTTGTACAAAACTCTTCTGCGAAACCCTAGATTCTCTGAAATTCAAAATTCAGTCCTGACCTCGCCATCTCCCTCTCTCTATTGGAGCTCCAATCCACTGCGCGCTTCTTCTCCCTCTCTCCTTCTCCCCTCCCCCTCCGACTCCCTCACTTTTCGATGGCGGAAGGCAAGCTCGATCTTCCCGACGATCTCCTCTCCTCTAAGCCGTCCGATCAGTCCTGGACCTCCAAGGGTACTTTGCCGTTTCATTTTTTATTTTTGCTATTCTATTTCTTTAGCAGTTCATTTTCTTTAGATTTGTGTATTCGTTGGGTTTGGTCGATGTGAAGCTAATGTAAGGTGGATGGTTACTGATCTGTAGCGTTTAAGTATGTATTGTACCAGTTCATTTTTTATTTTTTTCGGCTTCCTGCATCTTGTGCTAGTCGGGTTTTTATGTTTTGATTGAATGTTTCCGTCTTTCGGATTTTGCTCCGATCGGTTTTTCTTTTCTCTCAATTTTTATTTGTAATTTTTGCATTCGAACTCGGTCTTTAACACTAATGTATTGTAATTGTAATCCTTCCGTTGTTTTACCATCGGCATGTTGGATGATACTACTGTTATTGAGCTATCACGGTTTTGATTGTTTTGTTGGAATTCACTAACAGCTGCTATTATTAGTTTTTTCCTCGCCTGAAACGCTATTTGAGTTGCAGTTCCAGTGTTAAATCTTTATTTGTAGTTAACAAATATGTACAGTTCCTTCGTCTAGTGTTTACGGGGTCAGCGACTTTAGTACCGGGTTAGTGTGGGGCATTGAGTGGACGTTATAATGAGAGGATAAACATAGATTTGTGTTTTAATTTGTGTTCATGTTTTGGCAGTTGAAGCCTCTGGAGGAAATGATGGAAAAAAGGTGCTTATCGGGTCATCTGATGACTCAAAAGGTGAGCTTTGTTGTTCAAGTTTTTAGCATTAATTTCATGAACTGTGGAATCATTAAGTAATTTATATTCTGTTCGTCTCACGCTCATCTGATTTTGTATTGCTAATTTACAAATTCTGCAGATCCAGCTGCCTCAGAGAGCAGCATACCTTTGTCCCCCCAGTGGCTTTATGCCAAACCCAGTGAGTCTAAGTTGGTATGTGCTCTATGGATTGGATTTCTTTTAGTATTAATCAACTTTTTATTTGGTATATGTGCTTCTGTTATCTCCCTGAATCAGGATTAGTTGTAGTTAATTCAATCATCAAGACCTATTAAAAGACTTTGTACCTGGAATTGTTCAGATGCTTTGTTTCATACTGGATTTTATCCGCTTATAGTGAAAACTCAACTCACTACATAATTAATCTACAGCTATTTAACCCTGGATTACTTGGAAATTTACAACTTAGTTGACTAGTCATAAATTGGCTGTATATTACAGGAAATGCGTGGCCCAAGTTCCCTTGGAAACTCCACTGATAGCAACCAGAAGGAAGGTTGGCGTTTGGAAGGATCTGATGACAAAAAAGATTGGAGGCGGCCTGCCACTGAAAGTGAAAATAGCCGCCGTTGGCGCGAAGAGGAAAGAGAAACTAGCTTGCTTGGTGGTAGAAGAGACCGAAGGAAACCAGAACGCCGTGTCGACAGTGTTCCAGTGAGAGACACAACTGACAATAGGGCACTGCCTGCATCTGAAAGGTGGCATGATGGCCGTACCTCTGCACATGAAGCACGACGTGATAGCAAATGGTCATCGAGGTGGGGTCCTGAAGACAAAGAAAAGGAGTCTCGAACTGAAAAGAAAACAGATGTGGAGAAGGAAGATAATCACATTAACACTGACAACCAATCCCTTGGAGGTAATAACCGTTCAGCTTCTGAGCGCGAGTCAGATACTCGGGATAAATGGAGGCCACGCCATAGGGATGTTCACACTGGTGGGTCAAATTCTTACCGTGCTGCACCTGGATTTGGAACTGAAAAAGGAAGGGTAGAGGGTTCAAATTTGGGATTTACCCTTGGAAGAGGGAAGGCATCTGGCGTTGGGAGATCATCTGCAGGTGTTATTGGCTCTGCTACTTCTGGAAAGATTGGAAGTATCCCTGGGAAACCTAGGCACTCAGCTGATAGTTTTTGTTACCCAAGGGGAAAACTTCTTGACATTTATCGTCAGCGAAAGCTTGATCTATCATTTGCTACCATGCCAGATGAGATGGAAGAATCGCCCCCTACAACTGAAGTAGGCTATATGGAACCATTAGCTTTTCTTGCCCCAGATGGCGAAGAGGAGGTAAGAAATAGGAATGTGGATTATATTTCTTTTATGTACTGATTCTTTTATGCTTTCTAACTGGTTCATGTATTGCTAATAGGCCATCCTTAGTGATATATGGAAGGGAAAGATTACAAGTAGCGGGGTAGCATACAATTCATTTAGAAAGGGAAGATCAACTGAAAACAGTACAGGTATTTTCAACTCAATAGTTCCCAATTTGTGTCCTTTTTTGGAACTGGGATGTCTAATTACTAAAACACTCATTCTTTAGGTGGGGGAGACTTGGAAGCTGTTGATGGAGTTCTGGGTATTTTACCCAATATCTTGCAGGAGGCTGCAAATGCTGATGATTATGGGTCTTCACAGAATTCTGGTGCACAAAGGAATGTGCTAGATGGTGAGTTTCAGTTTGTTTCTAATTCTGCATGTTGTCTGTTATATTGAACTATATGCTGGTATTGTTGACTGGAATATCTGAACAATCTACTTACTTTATTGCAGACAAAGATGCCAATCATAAAGAATGGGAAACAAAATCTAGTCCAGGAAAGGACCGTGATGGATTGTCTTTAACATTTCAGAAAACTAATGGTATCTGCAGTGATGTTGAGACGGAAGGTGGCAGTAGGCAAATTGCAGATTCTTCTTTTTCCGGCCATTCTTTGTCTAATGACATTGAGTTTGGCACTTCTGACATAATATCAAAACTTCCTGATGATTCAAATACTCTATATGCTTTTGGCTCATCTGAGCAGAATCTGAATAACAACTGTCAGGTGAAAGAGTTAGAAAGGGATGTCCCTCCTGAGGATTTATGTTTGTATTACCTTGATCCTCAAGGGGTGGTTCAAGGACCATATTTGGGGGTAGACATTATTTCATGGTTTGAACAAGGGTTTTTTGGGACAAACTTGCTTGTTCGCTTGGCAGATACTCCTGAAGGAACACCTTTCAAAGAATTGGGGGAGGTCATGCCACATCTGAAAGCTTGGGATGGGCATAGGAGTATTGTAAATCCAACTTCTAATATAGAAGAATCAAGTAGCTCCTTAGGGAACATAGAGTCTAGCTTACCTTCTTCCGCTCCAGTTTCAGAAATGACTACTACATCTGTATGGAATGACTTACGGCGGCCGTTGCCTGAACTAAACAGCCTTTCAGCTCAGCATATTCAACTTAGAAATTCTGAGCCTGAAGCTCCAATACAACTGCCACATTCCAGGGGTCAAGGCTTTAATGATTTTGATGCAGAAGATGAAGGTTTGTCTTTAACGATAAATTCTTTTTGGTCTGTTTATTGTGCTGACAGATGGTTTTTCTCTCATCTCATCCTATTGCATTTTTTATTTTCCAGATATTGTGTTTCCAGGAATACCTGGAACCACCGGCTATTCTACTGCAAGATCTTTTGGAACCATTCATGATTCTATTGCAAATTCTAGTAGCCACCTTCATCCAACTGAGTTGACGGAATCCGGTGTGCCTATTCAGAATGATAACAAGTTGCACCCCCTTGGCTTGCTTTGGTCTGAGCTAGAAGGCAGTCAAACAAATCATGTCAAGCCAGCCAATATGCCTTCTAGCATGGGGAGGGCTGTTCCATTTGGTGCAATTTCTGATCCAGCGGTTCTTGCTGATGCATGGTCTGATGTTCATAGAAAAAATTCAGCCTCTGATACAGACCTCTATCAGGACATGGTAGCTCCTCGGCAATTGGCACAGATGAAACAGGAACCCAATCATTTTGATTTAGCTGAGCTGCTTACGCCACAGCAAAATCGACAGCAGCAACTCCAACAGCGAAATATTTTGTCTAGTTTTGGACACTTGAATGATGCGGTATTAGAGCATTTGCCAGGTCAGAATCTCATCCACCAACAGTTAGCCAACCATTCTTCAGCAAATCCGGATCACCTTTTGGCACTTCAGATGCAACAGCACCGGGAGGCTCAGCTCCAGCAACATCACCAACTGCAACAGCAGCAGTTTCATCAACAGCAGAAGCTTTTACAGGAGCAACAGTCCCAAGTACAACTGGTGCTACTGGAACAACTACTGCGTGGTCAAATGCATGATCCTGCGCTTAGGCAGCCACACGTTGATCCTGTCAGAGCAAACAACGTTCTTGAACAGGTTCTATTAGAGCAGCGCCGTCTGCATGAACTCCAACAACGGTCTCACCATTTTCCAAGGCATGTTGATCCATCTTTGGAGCAGCTTATCCAAGCGAAGTTTGGTCAGTCACCACCACAAGGACATCAAGCAGATTTTATTGATCTACTGTCTCGTGCGCAGCATGAACAGATTCAATCATTGGAAGATCAGATGCAAGCCAGGCAGTTACCAGTGGGAATGAGGCAGAGGGTGGAAGAAGAGAGACACGGTGGTTCCGTCTGGCCAGCAGATGAATCAAATCAGTTTCTGAGGACCCATGGTGGTGCTCAGCGAGCTCACTCTTCCGGATTTAGTCCTTTAGATTTTTATCAGAGGCAACAGCGGCCATCCCATGAGGAGCAGCTTAGTCAAATTGACCGTAATCTTTCATTGCAGGATCGACTTCAGCAAGGGTTTTATGAGCCTGGCTCTCATCCATTTGAGCGGTCTATGTCACTGCCTGCTGGGGCTCAAGGGATGAATTTGGATGCTGTAAATGCTATGGCTCGTGCTCAGGGTTTGGATATGCATGATTCCCTTGGACGAATGCCATCGGGTGGTCAATTGGGAACATTTTCATCCGGCATCCATTCTCATAATCCTCATCACCCTCTTCCTAACCAATTTCATGCTTCACAGTTGGATGCAATTGAGGGTCACAGGACCGAGAAGAATGAACAGCTAGAAAATGATTGGATGGACTCTCGGTTTCAGCAGTTGCATATTAATGCTGAGCGGCAGAAAAGGGAGTCAGAAATCAAAATTCCTTCTCAAGATCGAGCTTTATGGATGTCAGATGGATTGAATGAAGAGCATTCAAAGAGACTATTGATGGAGTTACTCCATAAAAAATCAGGCCATCAACCTGCCGAGTCATTGAATGTCAATAATGGCATGTTCTCTGATAAAAGGCCGTCATCTGGCATGTACTCTGGTTCAAGCTCTTCTAATCAGCCATTTAGCCTTCATGCAGACCATGAAGCAGGTCTAAATAATTCATTTCGAGTAGGATCCTATGGTTCAGATCATATGGAAATTCCACAGGAAGAGCGGGCCAGCAGCGTGGAAAGCAATGAAAAGCTGATGCACAGATCTGATTCTGGAGCATTGGTTGAGAGAGAGTCATTCTTGGATGGCATTAATGCTACGAGTCAGCCAATTTATACAAATTCTAACATGATTATTAAGTCTTCTATCAATAAAGAGGTTTTGGAGTTGGATGGGTGGAAGCGTGGAACGAAGAGTGAGGGGATCATTAGGGGCCAAGCGTTTGATATTCGAGAACGAATGGTCGAACAAGCAGGGTTGGGTGCTCCAGATTATGAGGAGAGGTCAGCAATTGCCCTTAACATGCGTTCGTCATCTGGTGTTTCAGGTATTTCTTGTTGCTTCTTTTCAAAGTTGATTCACTGCATAGTGCTCAAAATTGTTCATGTAAGAGTTGTGGTTTTCTAAATTTGCTTGTCCCCAGGTGGTAATGTAGGCTTTCATAGCGACAAGATTGGCCGAAGTAATTCCTTTGCGGAAGAAACGAACAGGGAACGGTACATATATGACCTTGTTTTTATCATCCAAATTCTTGTGAAAATTCCTCAGAGCATGTATAGAAGTAATTCCTTTTCTTTCTCTTTTCCGGTACAATGCCACAGGGTTCCAGCCCCATCCAAAAGTCAAGATAATATTCTGCTGAGACGACCTCCTGTCTCAAGTGCTTCAGCATCCCAAGAAGGATTGTCAGAACTGCTCCCTAATCCAGTCTTCCGTGGAAAAAGTGCAAGTGCTGCTCCAGATGGTATGTACATCTAACTCTCTAGTAGTTTCTTATCTTGGTAAGACCATTTTGTCGGTCCACTCGCTTGTTTCAAAGGTTTAACAACTTTATAGCTACACCTACTTCTTGCCAACCTTTTGTGGTAATGTGGGGGGAATTCTGAATTTACATTCAGATTGACAAATACTTGTTTTATGAAATATTCAGGGGGCAGGCAAGATCCAGTAAACCACGGTTCTGATGCCTTGCCGCCATCTTCAAAGAAAGAAATGCATTTTCACCGTACTTCATCCACCGGCGATGCTGATGTGTCAGAGGCATCGTTTATGGATATGCTTAAGAGTAATACCAAGAAGATAGCTCCGATGGATGCCCATGCGGCAGCAGGAGAAGATGCAATGCAAGGGAACCGAAGTGGCAAAAAGAAGGGGAAGAAAGGGAGGCAAATTGATCCCGCTCTCCTCGGTTTTAAAGTTACCAGCAATCGGATAATGAGAGGCGAAATCCAACGCATGGATGATTAGCCCCAATTGTTCTGTAAGTTCCTTGTAAATCTCGATTTCATGATAGTTAGTCTCGCATAGGTTTAGAACACTCGATGTACAGCATCTGCGGGTGAAAATTCTTTTATTCTTTTCTCCCCTTCTAGATCTTAGCGGTTTTGGTAAAGATTGCTTGATCAGCGATCTGAGTGTGCAGCAACGGCGAATGGGATTGAAATTTTGTACCGGACTAACAGGGTTTTCAAGGATAGTGATCCGATGATATATGTGTATATATTTTCAGAAACGTATTCCTTGTGCTGTTTTATACTCACTTTTTTCAAAGCCAATCCTGTAATTTCTCTCTAATGGAGTACATATTTGATGAGTATTAGAGAGAAAAAAGTGTTGGAGCTTTTTAAGGAAAAAAAAGGAAAAGGATAGGATCCTTTTCCCGGAGATCCAGGGATCTCGTGATCATGTTTTTTCATCGTACATTATGCGGTTAACAATAATTTGAAATTTAAAATTTAAAATTAAATATAAATAGTACTTAACAAAAATTGACCGCATGATGTACGATGAACGATCATAATTACAGGATCCCCGCTTGATCCTTTTCAGAAAAAAAAAAGGCCGCATGTCACAAGTTTCGCCGCAAGAAAATGTACGTTAGGATCAAATAACAGGTTTCAATACCTATTCGAATATCCAAGTACTTGACAAAAATAACCCTTAAAAGAGATCCTAACGAAGAGCACGGTTTCCAAATTGCAACACAAGGCTTGAGTGAATGTTGTAAAACAATACAGTTGTCATGTGCTAGTAAGAGTTGGCTCAGTGGGTAAGGTTTTTGTTTTGTGTGTCGCTTTATCAAGATTCCAGTCCTGTTGCCAGCTGTCTTTGTGAATACATTATTTATAAATTCCTACGTAAATTTATATCAGCGACAGTTAAGTGTCACGCGTAAATTCATCTGGCTCAAGGTTGTGTATGTGATGACGCTAGTGGTGAGCGTAACCAATCTCTTTCTAAAGTTTTTGTTTAAGAATATATATATAGTTATTGCTCAAATAAAAATTGAAAATTTTGAAGTTATGCAAATGTCAAAAGGATGCAATTGGTATTTCGGAAAAGTTGGCATTACATTGGTAATTTCACGCGCATTGCATTGGTGTTGGTTGTGGGTTGGTGTACACACTCGAATTCATCGCTTCTTTGCAAGGAAGAAGGGAATATGCGATATCCATAAAATTAGAACAACAACCGCACTGAGCCTTATCACCACACTGCACAGAAAAGCTTCCGCAGCAGCAGCAGCAAGGTAGCTTCAATGGCGGCTCCGTTGACCACCCTGGTACAAACCCATCTTCTCTCTTCCTCTGTTTGCTTCCCGAGAAAACCCGATGGGAAAATTAAGTAAAAAGTTTCTCTCTTTTGCGCTTTTTCTTTCGCAGTCAAATGTTGGTTCGCTTCCGGCTTCTCGCAGCGTGTCTCAGATCAGAGTTCTGACCCCTACCAGTTCTTCCATCACAGTCCCATCGTCATCTAACAAAACGGCGTCGTTGTCCTCCAGCTTCTTCTCCAGGTCGTCGCGTTTGTCCCCTCTGCCATTCCCTTCGAACCCTAGTTCCGGGAAAAGGACCAGTCTTGCTAGCTCAGTCCGCGCCAGTGCTGAGGTTAGCATCGGAAAACTCCGACTTTACCCTTTTAATTTAGTAAAAATTCAAATTTACCGCGTTCAGTGAGCTTATAACTTAATTTTGAGTTTCTTTTGGTGATTTGTAGGAAGTAACTTTACAATCAAAAGTGACCCATAAGGTGTATTTTGATATTAGCATTGGGAACCCAGTTGGGAAGCTTGCTGGAAGGATTGTGATTGGATTGTATGGCGATGATGTGCCCCAAACCGTGGAGAATTTCCGTGCTCTTTGCACAGGTTTTACGATTTTTCTGGGTTTTGTTTATGGCTTTATCGAGTGTCATTAATATAATTGACATCTTGATTGAATGTGTTCTGATTTCATATGAATTGTGTGTGTTTATTAGGTGATAAAGGCTTTGGATTCAAGGGTTCCGCGTTCCATCGTGTGATCAAGGATTTCATGATTCAAGGAGGGGACTTTGACAAAGGCAATGTGGGTGTTCTTTCCAGTCTTTTATGCTCATAGTTTCTAGTTAATTGTTGAGTTGCAGCCTTGGTTGACTATACACTTGACATTGATATTTGCTATAGTTATTCTAGCTCATGATTCATTTGACATCAAGGTTTGATAGATTACTTTAAGCAAACAATGTTTGGAAGGTCAAATATATGAAAGCAGAAAAACAATCGGCATTTGTTAAAATTCTAATGATAGTGTGAGTAGGTCAATTCTACCCCAAACTTTTCATTTTACATAAAAACTTATGAGTCTAAAAGTTTGCAGTGGACATTTCTACTGAATCATAAAAACAGCTGTGAAATCGCCTCCCACATATGTTGTTGGTTGACCATATTAATTATCCAGTATTAGTTATAGCAAATTCTTCCTGTATATATTTACTCTCGTTCTCAAAGGTACAGAGGTTAGATAAATGCTGGTAATGAAGGTTACTTTCTCCCTGCTAGTAAAAAAGAGCTTGAATTATTGACAATTGGACGCAGTTGACTAATCTACGGAAGTGGCTAGACAGGGGTTGTTTGAAGTACCCAGTTTGGCCTTTCATTAGTATCTAATAGCCTCACTTGCATTTCCAAAGACTTGCCCTGCACTTTTTATTGGCCATTTCATTTCTTTTTAACTGTGTACTTGTAACATTTTCTCATGCTTTTCTTTTTAATTATTTGGAAGGTTTTCATAGTTTGTTTTTCTTTGAGGTTATCCCTTTGGTTTGACATGACAGTGAAATTACAATCTGGAATATATTGCAGGGCACCGGAGGTAAAAGCATTTACGGACGTACTTTCAAGGATGAGAACTTCAAGTGTAAGTTATTCTTGACTTCTCATGCCTCATAGTAGGTTATTAATGGTCATTGATGTATTTCTCGAACTTTTGCATCAAGGAACACTCCAGCATTCTAAGAACTGCCTTTTATTGGCATGAGATTTTGTTTCTGATGTAATATTAGATATTGAATATGGTAGCGTCCACTTCTGACATTATATATAGATTATATATTTTTTAAATGTCATTGCAATCATAATTCTTGAATGCGTGATTTTGCAGTGTCTCATACTGGCCCCGGAGTTGTTAGCATGGCCAATGCAGGGCCCAATACCAATGGTAGCCAGTTCTTCATATGCACGGTCAAGGTACGAGCCATTCATTCTCTATATCATAGAATCGATTTGTCTGAGAAAGCTATGGCATGATTGTTTGAAGCCTCATAACATTGCGGTCCAAAGCAAAAACGTCTAAACTTTAATTTTCCCTTGCTTGGAAAGTTGGATGTCTTAGTTTCTTCTCAGAAGGTGGTTAAAGGCTTAGAAGAGGGGGCATTTTGTCACTTGATTATGTTTATATGTAATTTTTGTTTGTTTGTTTCAGACACCATGGCTCGACAACAGGCATGTTGTTTTTGGGCAAGTGGTGGAAGGCCTGGATGTTGTTAAACTAATCGAGTCTCAAGAGACAGACAGAGGTGATCGCCCTACAAAGAAAGTGGTCATCGCCGACTGTGGAGAGCTGCCAGTGGCCTAATGCGGATTTTTATCGGTTTTAGTTACTAGTGTTTCCCTTGAATCCCTTCTCCGTTTTGGAAATGTGGCCTTTAGTATTATGTACCCCATTCAGAGGCTTTTAGTTTGTTTGGCGGATTAGTCCTGCAGCACGAAACGTTATCATTTTTTCATGTATCTCTGTACTCCTTAACAGTAGAGTTTGATTACCGGGAATGACGGCCAATTGGAACAATAATATTTTCTTATTGAATGTCTGAACTATGAAGGATTGAACTTCTTTTTACTCTAACAATATTAGGTTTGGCGTTCAAACTCCGATGGATGTATTTCTTGGGCTCACCATTTTTGTTTTTGCGTACCGTTTGACTCAGGAGGTCAAAAGTTTACCGCTATCCCATGGGGTAGGTGTCATCCAAGCCTGCCTTGAATTTTTTTTTTCCCAATGTTGTAGATATGATTCAAGTTTAGTTTCGTATACAAAAATTGCATAATTCACAAACTAGTTTGCTTCCGCCGATATTTTCTTGCTTTTTGACATGTTTCAGTATTTTGATCTACATTATACATAATATCTTAAATAAAAAAGAATAATATATTTGATTTTGGCAGAAGGCATCCCGACAAAAAAGCATGTAACTATCGTTAAAGATTGCATAAATTTTAGATAAAAAGAAGCCTAAAGCTAACACGGGGCTAGATGCGCAGGCATGCCTACAAGCTAGCTAGCTATGGTGGCTGGTGAGTGATTGAGACCTGGTTTGGTATTGAGGTGATTCTGAAAAAAGCTGCTATAAAAAAAAGCTGGGAGCTGTTTTTGTGTTTGGTAAACACTCAGCTTCAGCTTTTTTTCACAGTTTTGGATGAAAAAAAGCCAAAAACAAGAAGTTGCAAAACCCAGCTTTGAAAAACCGACTTTTTTTGACATCTGTTTTACATAAAAGTTTATCAAACACTCTAATATTGCTTTTTTTTTTTTTTCAAAAGCACTTTTACAAAAAAGTTTACCAAACACTCTGCTGCTTTATTTCACAGCTGCTTATTCTCACAGCACAACAGAAGCAGCTTTTTTTCAAAGCACAGCAATACCAAACCAGCCCTGAGGCCTACTTGTTGTTGGCATTTGTTTCGGGAGAGATTTTTCTGTATTCTGTTAACACGGAACGAAATACCACATGTCATAATACAGTTAGAAGGACATTTCATAAAATTCTTTTAATTATATAATAACATATGATATTTCGTTTTGTATTTTGGCACGTTGAAAAATCTATCTCGTTTCGGAATTGAACACGTGGAAGGGGAGACCAAGGTAGCTCTATTCTTTAAAGCAAATTCCCATTGCAACGATGATTGATGTATGGTAGGCTGAAACTGATTGCTAAAAAATGAAAAATAAAAAAAGAATCTGTTCATGATAACTTGTTGCCTTCTGAATTCTACTGATTGTTTCGCTTTGGGCCTCAATTTTTGCTTTCATTTTAGTTGGTCCGTAAACTTCTTAAGAATGTATGAAATAAGGACTAAGTAACGTCAGTTATAAAAGTTGATAACGTTGGTGATGAGTGTAGTTAAATTTGATTGATTTTTTAGTAGTACAAACCAAAGTGCTGACTACGTCAACAAAAAAAACATTTCAGATTGGCACCAAAAATGTCACAACTTTTGTAGACTGTGAAAATGGATGAGAGAGTGAGAGACAGCTCGAAATAATGTGTGCGCATAACGAGAGAGAGAAAAAGAATGGACTAATGTTCTATGTTAATAATGTGTTTTGAAAACTTTTAAAACGCTTAAGTAAGATATATTTAAATGTACACCCATGTATTAAGGGCATTTTGATTAAAGTAGATGTGTTATCGAAATGTCTTTAAAAAGTAATCACGTGTTATTCTATTAATTTTGCAGACAAAACCGCTTTAAACCTTTATTAAGCACACTCTTTTTTCTATTACGTTTTAGACGATCATGAACATACCCTAACATTAACCCGTTATCCAACGCTCTCTCACACTTTTAAAACACCAACTTAAAAACGTTGAAGGTCCAAAGTAGAAAAACCAAAAACATCTGGAGGTAACAAAGAAATTAACCATAATTCATAAACAAATAATATTAATAAAAGGTGTCTCTCTATGCAAAAATGGTCATAAATTTTTTTTAATGTGCCGAAAACAAGAAGATGTACGTCATAATAACGAATTTTTCTAAGTATTCTTTTATTTGTATAAAGATATGCCGTAAACAACTTGTTTTGAACATACTAAAACTTTTATCTAATACACACCTTGTCGCACGCGCGTCGAGGTGGATTCGATACGATCCGGACCACGTGACCCTTTGTGGTGGATCATCTCCGTCCATCAACTCCCAAAAAATCTCTCCGTCCCAAACTCCGTTTCGATTCAGGGCCCACTCCCTGCATGCATGGCAGCCCCGGGCAGTGGTCCACTGCCATCAAATGCAGCAACGGGGTCCCACATGTACTGGCGGCTGTGTGTCGGCCAGGATCGCGCCACGTGGCGGGTAGAGTCCGAAACCATCACCAGCAAAAACAGCTATAAAAAGAGCCTAAAAAACAACAGTAAAATCGGAAAGCGACGGATCATGTGGGCGTGGAGATTCGTGACGCCCCCCCCCTCTGCTCCGTTGAGATCCTGTCGGAGTTGGACTTTTGATTCATTGAATTAAACTAACTCCCATGACAGAATCATTGTGCTTATCTTAATCATAATCCACATCAATCAGTCACTCTTAATTGCGTGTTAATTACCATAACGATGTTTGATTTCCCTCATCATTTGCTTGTCCCTCTTTTCATAAATATTCACAATTTCCTTTTCAATGGCATTTATTCCCCAATTTTCTTCTTTAAACATTATTGTGCAGCATATTATAATTGCAGAATGGTACAAACTATATAAAGTAAAGTGGGATTTAGCTACTTCAATAATAAACTCCAACCAGGGTTCAAGAAAACGGAATCACATTGCATCAATGGCTAATGAACGGCAGCTTATTCATATACAATTAAAGTTCAAACAAAAGAAACTTCAATAAAGTTGTAGGATATGAAGATTTTCACAACAAATGACGCAGTCGAAAACCCTAATCCAATTTTTTTTTTTTTTTTTTAGGTGGGATAGTAGTTAGTAGTGAATGATGCCTTTTAGGCCAGATATTGGTTGATTCTTGAAAAGGATAATGTTCCCATAGTGACCTTACCGACTCCCCAGGACTTCCAAGCACACCTGCCACGGCAGCAATTAACTAAAAATCCCCTGTTCGTTCAAGCTGAATTACCAACCATGTCCAAATGTGCAGTGTCACAAAAAGCACTTCTTGCAGTGTCACAAAAGCACTTCTTTAATCATATTTGCAACAGCAGGTCAATCTTGGCGCTTACTCAAACCCTCAAAAAGAAAATTGATTTTACAGTTTTGCTTTTACTTTCAGTCATTCCAGATTACCCAATATACCAGGTTTGAGATTCTGTAGCAGTAGAATATATGTATTTACCAAACCTTTAGAAGGCAAAGGATGAAGAGCAGGGGAAATGTATGTACAGTTATACACTAAACCGTAAACGTCGGAATTCTGATTTACAAGTTCCAGGCCGGACTCGAGATCAACGATGGGATTGACCGGAAGCTTTGCATTGCATTACAGTTTCAGAGAGCACGATGAACAACTAACCGAAAAGCATCCTAACACACGTAGACATTAGACAGAGACAACGGACCTAGTTTACCTAATGACACGCTCAAGAACATGACTTTATCAAACCCAGGTTGTAAAGGAACTTCTCCGACCTAGTGCGAAAGAGATTGCCCAAAGAGAATCTCCCACTCTCCTGCGGTGGAGATTTTGAACAGAAGTCGTCTTGCAGACTCAGTAATGCCAAGCCAATCTCTTGCCGAACCGCTTCAATTGTCTCGCTCTTGACTTGATTTCCAGATGCATCGGTCACATAGAATACATTCACAGCTTGGGAGCCCCTGGTTGTAACCTCAGCTCGGGTGACTGAAAGACCGTTTTCTCTAAATATGCGTGTCACATCAGAAAGAAGGCCGGCTCTGTCATCACCACAAAGCTCTAGTCTTATACCCTGCATTAGAAATGATACATTAACTTCAAAACGCTATGTGAAACTGGGAAAAGTATATTTCGAAATAGAAATTCCAGCGTGCCCATACCTCAGAAGTCCGTCTTCTAATAGCAGCTTCCAAGCAATGGATAACCCTCTGCCTTTCTCCTTCAGAACTAATAGGGCAGCCGTCGGTATGTCGTATATAGTATTCCTATCACACAAATTTACAACGTTAAAAGCATTAGATGTGTTGATTCCAATAATCAAATTAAGCTAACTAAACCAACCACAACTTGAGGGAAATAAGGAAAACCTGATAAGCCTCTGGACCTTCGGCAATCACAGTTGCATGATATACCACATACTCCATATCTGTTAAAGTGCACACCGTGTCAAAGAGCAACTTAGGACGGTCTGGACACCTCAAGTTCACAACAGTATATCCTTTATCGACACAATTTTCAACGGTTACAAGTGGTTTGCTACGATCACTGGCTCCACAGTCCGCAGCATCCATGTCATAATCACGATCAGCGTACATCATCTGGTGAAGCCTCCTCTCCTTATGTGTGGAACCAACAGAAACAGCGGTGTTGGCACTGCGCTTATCTCTGTCCCCCTTGAGCACATAAAGGAGAAGCTGTTTGATCTTGGTAAGATGTTCAGGATCATCAATGGGCCTCCCAGTTTCCTCGTCGGTGATGTACACAACTGATGCCATTCTTGAATTGTGAGTCCAGACTTCTCCGGTAACCACATTGCATTTGAGGTTCGAAAGAACAGCAAAAACTTCAGAAAGCAAGCCTGGCCTGTCCCTTCCAGTCAATTCAATAGTAGTGTGTTCTGCGGCGGCTTGGACACCCACAGACCTTCTCAAGGATCGGAAGCTTCGTGCTCTTGGTCCCAGTGACTGCAAAATTTGAATTCAATAATCAAAATGACTTAGAACTTACATGGATTCACAGATAATTTTGCAAATTATTTCAAGCACAAACCCAAAAACCAAGCACTTTTCTTCTTTGTCATCCGCCAACAAAGAAAATGCGAACATATGCAAATGGATACTAATACTTAGTTAATAAATGCAACAAGACTTGGGCAAATTCTACCATGATAAAGCTAGAAGACGCAGCGATTAATCAAGTTTGCTGTAAATTCCACCTATTAAATATCAGTCTAAAACCCATTCTCAATTTCGCCATTACACAGGAATTCCATATTTGGTAAACTAGAAGAAACAGAGCTATTAGTTTCTGGGATCTACCTGTTGAATGCGTTCCGCGATTCCGTCATCAGAGAGCTTATTCCCCTGTTGGTCAGTGACATGAAAAACTGCAAAAAATTCATTAAAAACAAGAAATTCAATCATAAATATTACGAATTTGGGATAACACAGTACCTGAAAAACTCAAATTATAAAAAAAATTTAAAAAAAAAAGCTCACCATCCATGAACCATTCGCCATCAGAAGAAATATAAGCCCTTCTTATAATGAGATTCAAATCATTCAGAATCTGAACCACCTCCAGCAAACTCCCACGCTTATTCGCACTGTCTACCTACAAATTTATCAAAAACAAACAAAAAACCATTGTTTAAAATTATATAAAATAAAAAAAAAATTAAGAAAATAGTGACCCTTTTGGATTCCTTGCAGAATACAATTCAAGAAATTCAGTCAGATACCTTAATCAGAGTGGCTTTACTGCTTGATGCATTATCAACTGTAACCCTACAATTCCCATATCAGCAAGAAAACAAATCAGAAAACAGTGCAAAATGGAGAATTTCAGCTCAAGAAACATTGATATTTCAAGAAAACAAGCAAAACCCAATTTTTTACAGCAGACAATTCGACCCCGAAAATCCCAGAAACGAATAGGAGAGTGAATTTACATCGGGGGGTTGATTCTCATGGCGAGCTTCTCGAACTCGTCGTCGACGGCGAGAGAAGGGGACCAACAATCCATTGGGGAGAAGGAAATGAGAGAGGTAATTCAGTTATTGGGATTCCAGAACGGTAAAAAATGAGAGAAAGGGTTGGAGCTTTTGTTCTTTCTTCTCTCAGTCTCTGGGTAGCTTCATAAAAATGTAATGGGAGGGGAGGGGGAGGCGGTGGTTTTATGTGTGGCTGTGTGTTAAGTGTTGGTAGGGTGGTGGTGGCTCTTGAGCTGGACCAAGAGTTTTGGAGGGACAAAACAACAAAATATAATTAACAAAAACATTATAATAATTTATATTAGCCATAGCACAGATACTATGTCTGATTATCAACATTATAAAAACAAAAATTACATCGAGAGAGAATATAAAATGGTCGTTAAGATTTTCATGATATTCAAACGATTTTTTTGTCACTGAAGCGGTGGTAAAAAAGTTTCTGAATAACTGTTTTGTTCTTAAAAGTGTATGTTATTTGGGAAAAAATGTGAAAGAGAAGATGCGGGCAACTGATATAGTTCTCTTTTTGTTATATTTTTTAGCTTTGTTGACAGGGTTAATTTGTTATTCTCATCTTCTTTTAGTTGACAAATTTTTTTTTTTTTTTTTTTAATAAGTGATCTAAAATACTATTTTTACTATCTATTTGTACCACCTCTGATAAAAATGGAACTCATTTGTATTGGTAACTTACTGCGGTTAGAAAAAATGTACAAATAGATGATAAGTATGGCCGTATTCCAGGTGATTTAGATATGATTCATTGAAATTATTATAAAATTGAAAAATATCGAAATGGAAACAACATATTAAAAAATAAAAAAATTAGAGGCGCATGCAAGTATTAAGTGAGTCAGTGCCAAGTGGGGCCAATCTCACCCTCATAAACTTGGTCTTTCCCTGTTATTCTCCCTCGTTCATTCTCAAGAAAAGAAGGCGGCTAAAATTTCTCTTTCTTATTTTGATTTTTACTATTTCTTGACGTTATATGATTCTCTAATATAAGGGAAGACGGATTCAAACTTGGATTGTCAACGAGAAGGAGATTGAGAATCAAAATTGAGCACAAAGTGAGAAAAATAGTGTAATGTCAATCGATCTAATTCGTATCACCTTTTCTATTTTTTTTAAATTGATCTTTTTAGCCGCCAATAAACTGGTCGTACAAATTAGACTAGTACTAATGACGTGTTTTAAATGATTCGGGTTAGGCTCGTTTGGTTTTAGTGTATGGATTAGATTAATCTACTATTTTATCCTTTTGTCTTTATTTTTTGGGGTCAAACCTTATCCTTTTGTGTTTTGTCTATGCACACACACTCTCTCTCTAATAAGATGGAAATCTAGTAGGATTATGCTGTGCTTTTCAGCTTTAGGGGATCCGTCGTCCCTCCGAGTTAGGGAACCCTACCCTTATTTCTTAATTATTCGAAATCTAGGAGGATTTTTTGTTGGGATTTTTTGGATTTATTTTTCATTTTTCCAATCTAGATGAATTTTGTTGGCCTTTATTTATTTTAAGGAAACCTCAGCACGTCTCATCTCTCTCATTCATTGTATTATTGTCCCAAAATCCTGAGGGGAAGTTAAAAAAAAAAAAAAAAAGAATTAAATAAAGAGCCTTTTGCTTCTAGCAGGGCTGTCCCAAGCTGGATGGATCCCCTTTTGTACCTCAATTTGCCCTTTTCGGATTTGATTTGCTTGCCTACCCATCTCACAACCCAATTTGACCTTTAGTATAAGAAAGAACATAGGTTTAATATGTCGTTGTATTGGAAAACGTTTGTCATGTGATAGATTGAGTGATAGGTATTGTCGAGTTAAAATGTCTAGTGTACTTTACAGTTCTTGATATAAACAAAATTTACAACACATCATGACTTTTTTAGTTTCTTACCACTATGTTCCTTTATGAATTTCTGAAATATCTTAAAATGCTTCTTTGATTTAATTTCTTTCTTAATTTTGTAACGGACAAATCACTGACAACGTTGGCATTGAATAAAGCCAACACCAGTGCAAGAGTCGAGACAACAAGCACCCATGTGTGAGCAAACGCACAAGTGATAGTCAAGGTGGCATGAAGGTCAACGTCAGCTGTTGGTATCCAAAATCTTAATGTAGTCATAGTTCTTCACAGTTTAAGTGATTAACAGACAAGTACAGTAATCCAATATCTTTTCTGCAAATGGGGACTGAAACTCAAGAAATAGAATAGTACACCAAAATAGCACGAGACTTAGCAACCTTAACTAATAGCTCATTTGACACTTTTTGTTGAAATGACCTGAAACGCTTCCAACAACATTTGAAGAAAAAACAATATAAGTACTTTAATATTCAAGATGATTTTATTGTAGGTAACAAAATCGCTTTTAGAAAACTTTGGTATAAGAAATGTATTTCTTTTAATATTACCCGAACTTATGGGCATCCTTCCCCACCCCCACAACTTTGGCATATTGTACATCAAGTCTATAATTCGACAACATGTTTACTGGAAAATACTTGCCAAACTTGTTCATATTCTTGCAGTATGCACCGTCGGATCAAATTCCACCCCGGACCCCTTGACGGCTAGGAACTTCAGCTGCCTACGAGGAGTAGAGGGCCCGATCCTTAATTTAATGGCGATAGAATAAAATATGGATTATTTGAACCAACCCACCATATCTATGATTCTATATAGTTGCATTGCAAGTGCATGATATTAGGCTCGTTCGTAAATGATTTTAAAATGATAAATAATATTTTTTATAATATTAATATTGGATTTCAAAACCACTTAAGTGTTTTCACAAGAAACACCAAATATGTGCTTCTTTTGATGTTTTTTGCAAGAAGCACTTAAAGTGTTTTTTTTTCTTCTTCAGAATCTACTTGAATTTTTACTCAGAATTGGTTTAAAAAACAAAAAAAAAAAAAATTCACCAAAAGCTCTTTCAACTATTTTAAAAGCACCTCAAAACAAATCCATTAATTTTTTGGTCACCTATTTTTACTTTTCACACTCTTATTATTTTTTAACCAGTAATTATCTTCAATTCATTCGATCAAAGAACAAAAAAACTAAATAAGTGTGAATATCATTGCGTATTATTTTGGGTTGGCAAAGACATTAAACTAGTCAAACAAATGAAAATCACATGGACGCACTAAAAGGGAGAGCAGGGCCATACAGAAACATACCACTTCCCATAACCACTATTCTGCAGGACCTGCACATGATACACACATGGAAAAAGCACAACCAGAGGAGGCATTTAAATAAACCAAGTGGGCCTAAACCCTCTTTACTTGTGCAATTTTCCACACAAGAAACTTTTGAGTGTAACGATCACACTGTGTTGTATATGAGTGTCACCAAAATTATCGTTAAAGTTTGTGGTGTGCTTTTCCTATTAGAAAGGTAATCAAGTTGTTAATGTTTTAGCTTCCAGCGGTGAGCTGCTAGTGCTTATTACTTGTGATTCACACCCTGCTTGTAAAAGAGTTGATAGAGAGGAAGCTGCGGTGGCAGTATCGGCAGGGGATCGGCCATTTTTCCAAGACATGAGCAAGATTTAAAGAAGCATGGCATTGCCAATTTTGTATGCAATTAAATTAAACAAATAGATTAGCTGCGAATAAGTTAGTACTGATTTGGTACTGAAGTACTTTTATAAAAAAAAAATGGGTATAAAAAAAAGTTAAGTTCAAAAAGGTACTTGGTAAATATTTTAAAACAACTTATTTTCATAGTTTTGGACAAAAAAAAACTGAAAATGTGAAGTAGCAAAAATGAACTTATTCTCATAGTACAGCAGAAACAGTTTTTTTTTTCAAAGCACAGTAATACTAAATCAGCCCTTAATCATACCATTTGTAGCGTTGATTTCACCACGGCGTGACACATCATATGGGGGATCTTCGTATGCGACATGGGGCACCCGCCGCACCAAATATTATTAGATAATTACCTCCCAATAAAATACAACAATCAAGCAAACTCCATTTTAAATGCAAAACATTCTTTAAAATGTTAATCATACTTAATAAAAAAAACAATCATCATCTATTGAATTGAGTGCAACTTTTTCTTTTTTATGTTTTTAGAGTTTGGAGCATTAAGTGGCGTTTGGTTTTCGATTTTTTATTTTTATTTCTTCTTTGAGGAAATTGATATTTTTATATTAAGGGGAGGGTGAGTTCAACTAAACCGTCTAATGAGCAGTCTAATTTGGTATCGAATTCGCTATTCACGAGATTTGAACCTATGATCTTTTATTTCTAAGCGAATAGGAATATCACCAGACTGTAGTTTTGCTTCCGAATTAAGTTTTGTTGGAATGAAATTCTTGTCTATTTATAAAGCAAGTTTACTTATTTTACTTAATAGAAGTCAGAAAGAGAATGATACCTAACTATTCGTATATGAGATAAGCAACTTTTTTGGTGATCCCGTATCTAGTTGTTTTGGTAAGACTATCTCTAACCAAGAGTGAAATTCTAAAATATATTTTCGTGTTTTTTACACTTCATATATACATATAAGGTTAGCCATTTTTTTTCCTCCAAGGGCAATGACCTATATTACCCGTCCCAACGTGTTATAATTTGTTAAACTTCTGTATTTCTTTAATTTTTTATGTCTGCTAACGATTTTGGAATTAGGTTTTGTATCATCTATCTTGTTTTATTTTACGAATATTTTGATGTAAAAAAAATCAAATTGCAGAATTTTTTTTTTTTATAATCTTTATGGATTATTGACCAATGGAGGGGTATTTATAGAGTTTTGGTGTCGGCTCTAATTTGTATTAATTAATAATATTATTTTGACCGTTAGATTTAAAGCTGTAGGATTTTTTTATTACCGTTAAAATTAATTAAATTGGATTTGAGCCATCAGACTTTAAAAAGTAACTCAAGAGGAGCGACAACCGATGGATGCGGTTATAAAATCACATTTGCACACTTTCATCCATCATTCGTGTTAGTAAAACTGACGCACGAGCTCTGTTGTCCCTCTATTTCACATGGGTTCACTGCCACAATGGTTCCCAGTTCCATCCAAAATCTTATCCACTCTGGATGGATACAAGACCCAAATACCCACCCCAATTCCAAAATTTGTTTTCCCCACCCTCAAAATACACCCCTCGGAGAAGAAGTAGACCCAAATTCTGAGAATTTTTTTTTCCCACCCAGAGTTGGAGACAGTCTAGCATGCTTAATTTTAACCTGGGACTGAACTACTTTTTCATTCATTGAGTGTTAGTAAATTTAGGACTTAATATTCCCTAAATCCTACATAATGACCTACTCTATTAAAATCAAAATATAAATGTGAGAATGTGAGGACAAAGTCCCATCACATTGGTAAGAGACCAAACCATCGAATGACTTATGAGAGGTTGTGTTACTCCCCAGATCGTCAATTGATTTATGGTGAAACCTCAACTTCTTTATGGTATTAGAGCAAGTTGAGTCATGTGTAAAGTCCAACGGTCACGTGTGCTCCACATCAAATAGATAATGTCCCCTGGACTGATTGGGTTGTAATTGTTGGATATATGTCAACAATATATGATAAATTTATATATGCTAATAAATAATAAATGTGAACAACTAATTAACAATGTATGAACAATGAAATAATATTAAACAGAAATATTGAAGATCGAGGCTTGAGTACCACAATGTCCTTGAAACAGAAATTTCATCCCTACTGAGTGCTTGTAGTTCTACGGACGTCTGCTTCACCAGGATTCAACGATCAAGTTAGAATTCCAGCACCAGAAAATTGACTTTTGGTGAATTTATGTGTGGTTCTCTCAGTAAGAAGGTTTAAGAATGTAGAAGAAGAATTTGATATTTTCTCTGTGAATTTCCAACAATACCCCACAGTAATCATATGGCTTTTCAAGTGAATTTAGCAAATGGTTGATGATACCATATTCAAGTGAATTATTAGTACTGGTATCATCCATACATTTACACGGCATAAACACGTACATGCATCACAAGGACAAAAGCTCATCCAACCGCGCGCAGTGGCCCTGGCCGGGTTGTGCACGCCCACTCAGCAGACTAGTTAAACCCTAATTCCTTTCGGTCCTCTCTCATATCTCAGTGCTCCACTTGCATTGCATGCATCTTCCACAAGTCCGAGACTCCGGGCGGGTGCTTACCAACAACAAAACAATTTAGCGGAAAAGCAAATGATGATGCTACTCATAACATTGACTTATGCTTAATTATATTTTATAGTTACACCCTTTTTCTTTAGTATATAACAAACAAAAATTTATATGATGGGACTACATTAATTACTCAATAATTTTAAAGGTCTGTTTAGTAGGCTGGTTGGGATAGGGTGTGACAATTAAAATGGACTTGAGCCTAGTCCTTTATTTGTTATGTTAATATGTGAGATGGATAAGACTGTACATGATAAGTTATGAATCCACAATAGAATGAGTTATCTAATTTATCCTTATACATGGGTTACTAGTCATGTCTCACATGTTCTTGTCAATAAAATCTTATCACTAAAACTCAATCGCATCTAGCCCACCGAACGAGTCCCAAGTGCACTAGAATACTATTGGGCTGGATAAAGGTGACAAAAAGTATAAAATTTGTTTCTTTAACCCTACCTTTTTAGTATGTAGCATTGAATAATACGAGAAATCAATGACTAAGAGAGAAAATATAAAATCTCAACAGTTGTAAAAATCAAATCTAATTACTAAAACACTCATAACATTGAGTGATACGTAACATTTAAGTCACATATTTTTTATTTCAGCCAACGAAATTATAGAAAAGGTGAATGTGCGTATGACGAGCATCTATTTATTGAGAAATGCTACGGAGACTCTCAAAATATGACTCTCTATTGACTCTCCGTCATCTCATATTTTTGGCACAATGTTTTATAATGTTGGCGTGAGAATTGTGTCAAAAACAAAAGGTGGCGGAGAGTCCATAAAAATTCTGACGAGCATCTAGTTATTGAGAAATGCTAAGGAGACTATCTCAAAATGAGACTCTTAATTGACTTTCTATCACATCATATTTTTGGCACAATATTTTATAATGTTGGATTATGTCAAAAACATAAGGCGACAAAGAATTCATAAAATTTTTCATTTTTAAGAAAATCTCCTTAACATTTCTCATATTTATTTCGTTTTATGGATTGTGAATGGATTACTTTTATAGTCCGTACAGTTTTACATGGCTCCCAAATTTGGTTGGAGGCTTTTTGAGCACAGGCTGCAGCTGGAACCACACCCAATATTTGATTTGGATGCTGGGGTGGTCCAATAAGTCACTTGGAGTGGACCATCTAAACTTTGTCTATTAAATTAATTAAGCTCACTGCCACAATTGCAACGTATCGTCCGTACTTGTGAAACTTTTACACGTCAATGTGTGCTGTAAAACATTAGTAGCTAAGAGTGTCCGATCATGTTCCTCGAATACGTTTCACAAAAATATGAATCTCCGTATTTTAGTTTCATCCGTCCTTACTCGGCGTGAAAACTGTCCTAAATAAGCAACTATACCAAAATTTCTCCATTTGAGCATGAGAAACAGCGTCATGCTGCCAAGGAGGGATTTTTTTTTGTTTTTTTGGCAACGTTATGCTCAATGTCTGAGATGGGTTTGGGTCCGTTTAGCATCTTATGCTTCACTCTTTGGGCTGAAAGGAGGAAACGGGACCCTAACTTGGGTTGACGGCCCTGCTGCTGTTTGTTTCAAAATGTAGTTAGAAATTTGCGTATTAAACATATATGTACATAATTTTTTAAAAATATTTATATTTTTCGTAGATGTCTTATCGATTTGTAAATTACATGTTTTTAAAACTCCAACATACCATACACGAATGTACTTGATCGATATCCTTGCGTTACGAAAAATTGTGTTTGAAAAATAACATTTAACCTAAACACTCCAATGTTTAGGGAGATCTGTTAACAATGGTTTTATTATCCTGTGACTAATTTCCAAACTAATGCTGATTACTGACTTCACTTCGGCTATCAACAAATCCAAGACTAAGACCTATTATGTAACAATAAAAAAAGACACCAAAACTTCCAAGCAAGTGTAAAACCATTGCCAAGTTTACAGATTAGGGTTTAAGCTATGCTGGCTACAACAATGTGCTCCACCATCTACACTGAAGTTCGAAATTTCACTCCGTAAATTTAAATGAATTCAGTGTAATTATTCTATCATTTGTCTAGAAGAAAAAACACCATTGCCAAGTTCACAGTAAAATAACTCTTTTAACTTGCAAAATGAAATTGCAAAAAGTTGCAGCGTGGTATTCAGAAACTCATCCAGACGCAGAAAGAAAAAAGGACGACCCAAGCCAGTAAGGCTCTCCGCTTTGAGAGAGTCGAGGGAGAACGTCTAGAGTAAAAAAACCCTCTTCAGTGTAATTACTATATCATTTGTCAAGAAGAAAAAACACCATTGCCAAGTTTGCAGTAAAATAACTCTTTTAACTTACAAAATGAAATTGCAAAAAGCTGCAGCGTGGTATTCAGAAACTCATCCAGACGCAGAAAGAAAAAAGGACAACCCAAGCCAATAAGGCTCTCCGCTTTGAGAGAGTAGGGGGAGAACGTCTAGAGTAAAAAAGCTCCCTATTTAGTAGATAATGCTCAGCATGGGATATTATATGGGACACATATAGAAAAAGCTCTCTATAAATACAAAATCCAGATCATGATATCTAAATGAAATTGCATACCTGCACGAAATCCATTTACTATATAATTGCTCAGCATTCTACAACTTTTTGTTGTTTGATGCAAGCCAGCAGCACACATAATTCTAAACAAATCAACAAGAAATAGAAAGCAAACCCAATCTCCAAGCCATTTTCTTCTCCATAGTTATCCTGCATGTCACAAAATTAAACATTCAAACCTAAATTCGAATAAAGAACTCGAGGAGAGGAAGACTCGAGGCCACGTTTGGTAACTAAGATTAGATTTTAAGTCGAAGTACGTTGAATGAATGCTCGATTTCCGAATTTTATTCAAGTTGAAGAGACAAAATGGATTAGTCATGGACGAAACTTATCCTTCCAGTATGCATAAAATGGTAAGATAGCAGAACCTTATGACTAATCCGTCTAATTCGTTCAACCTGGACAAAATTTGGAAGCAGACTTTCATTTCTCGCTTCAACGTACCTTGAAACTAGCGAATTAGCTAATCGTGTTAGATCCTACATGCTAAATGTAGCCTGGAAGAACGAGATAAGTACAGTACCTGATAAAATGAAGAATGTTGAAAGAAGGGTAACCCTGCAAAGCCAGTATCTTAGCTATTTTGAACTTCTCTACTGTCTCCGTTCCTCGAAAATCATTCGTTCGTATTCGATTGTTGTTGCTGCTGCTGCTGATTGAAGGAACCAACACCCCTAGGCCTCTGCACCTTGTTCTGAAGAAATTGGGTCAAACTCAAAGCTTGAGAATTCACCAACCCAATGTGACCATCCTGAGAAAGTCCAAGCTCCAGACCTGGAACTTGCTGATTGCTTCCACTCAGAGTTGTGGGAAAACTCATTGATCCCAAATTACTAGGAGCATCAAATCCTTGGAAACCAAACTTATGCATGAAATTCAAGTTCTCACCCCCAAAATTCAACGTTTGCTGACCAGAATTGTGATCAAAACTTGACCTAATCCCACTGACGAAAGGCCAAATCCCAGTTGCTGCATTAGATCTCCCCAGATGGCCAAAGCTCATTAATCCAGAGGAAACAGAGTTCCCCTGTTCAGAAACAGAGGACTCTGCAGCCGCTGCCAGAGCTGACGCCGGCATGGTCCCGGAGCCAGTAGCAGCAACAATTGACGGTTCTGCTTGCTGTAAAAGCCACTGGATTGTCTCACCGTCGGACTTGTGACCCAATTCTCTGGTGAGCTGAAAAACCCTCGCCGCGCAGAGCGCTGGCATCCTTATTCTTCTCCCCCTGCCATCCACTTTCTTGTGCCTGTCCTTGGTGGAGCTCCTCTTTGGTGCTAACTGCTTCTTGCTTTCATCCTTCTCTTTGTTTGCAATCATAATCTGTAGGTCTTTGATTTGTGCTGGAGCCTTGTTGTTCTCTGCCATGTCTGCTTTTGTGGGATCAGTGCTGAGGACCCAAAAATGGTGGGTACCTCTTTGTGGATGGTGATGTAATGATAAGCCCTAAGCTCTTAGGGTTTAGTGGAAACTTTGGGGGTGATTGAGTTTTGGGTTTTGAAGGTGGGGTTGTATTTTTATTGGCACGCCTAGATTTGTCAATGGAAATATTTTCAACTTCAATTATTGAAGCCATAAAGTTTCCAAGTAAAGTTCATGCTACTTGTAATGCCACATCTCACAATGTCGTAATTTGCAGCTGTAGATCAACAACTAGATTCTGGTGATTTGTAAGTCTTATAGTCCATTGTCACACCGTCTTCTAGTTGAATTTTTGGCAACGATAATAGGTTGTCCAGAAAAGTTTTTGAGTGTGATAGTTATACTATCAAGTTATATGTTACGATTGGAATACATGACATAGTGGGATATATCAGACCTAATTTATCGCGAGCGCACTTGCCGTGATCGTTTACACATTAATTGAGTATGTGAATTCAGAAATATTTATGGCAAGATCAACTTTGTTGTTAATGAGCTGGCCAACTTGAGTTTATCAGGTAATCTTGATCCAATTTATTTTGATCATGCTTCTTATATAAGCATCTCTTATTTTTGTAATAGAACTTTACGTATTATAACATGAATAAATTAATGAAAACACGTACCAGCGGCGATCAGACCAAAAAATCACTCCGTCTGTTGTGCCTGAAAACTAGTAACTGATTGGCTTGGCATGCTAGTAAATGCAAATGTACGGTCAGTCGCTCAGTCTACATGAATGAAACATCAGAGTTCCGACTATTCCAGACTGACAATACCTAACTCAACACAATGGTTCCAGAATGGTCAAAGTGTTTGGTGCAAATAATAATTAAGTAGGCCATGCCTTCTTCAATGAGGCATTATTGTCCCTATTTTCTTTTACTAATCGACAAATCAATCTTCAAAAAATGGGAGATACAGCCAAGGCCAAAGCTCCATTGATCTAAATGGGTGCATTTTTGCTCAAAACTCTAATTAGGGGCGGATACATATATGGACCCGAGTTGTCTCGGGCCCACCTAAAAGTTCGAAGAAGCACAAGTGAGGACCTTCGAAGACCATTTAACGGTTTGAGCAGATGGTGGAAGAGAGAAGACCATCATGATTGTGCAAATACTGTGCAATAGAAGCTTTGAACCAAGAAGAAATATTTACTTTCAAACGAAGAGGAACACAGAGACGACCACTATGACTTTGATGTTCTTGAACCTTGGTTCCAACTAAGAAGAAAGACTCTCTCTACGTTTTCCACGTGACCAATTTCCTATTTTTCTTAATGATTGTCCAATCAAGTTATGCCACCTAGCATTTTAATTAATAAAAAAAATAGTGTATTACTTAACCAGCACTTTTTGTACTATATGTTTCACACCGTTATTTATATAAATTTACTATAAATTCATACAATCTCTAGAAAATATTTTGAAAGTACTCGAACTCGTAATCACTTGAGTATTCATCTCATACCATAAAATTCACTAAAATACTAGGTGTATAGGGGCTAGGTCCTAGGTCCTAACTCGCCGCTCGACTAGCGCTTATCGTACCATAATTAGACCAACCAATGTTAGAATTATGTATCCTCTACGGGTGGTAATGCTCATCATTCTATTTATCATTGTTGGATGAGTTTAAATATTGAGATTTATGTTTATCCACTACACAAGTCTTAAAATTTAAACTTATCTAATAGTGATAAATAAGATGATGATCATCGTCATCACTTGATAATAGTGAACAAAAATATTTCCGATAATGAGTAGATGACGTGACTTTATAATCATAGCAGATAGTGTGAAAATTTGCTTGGTGTTCAATTGCAAATAATTGAAACCCCAAAATTTTATTGTTATAATACTATAGTAAATTTCATTACTTTATCATTGCTGCCAAAAAGTTTAAATTGTGCTAAAATATAATTTAGGAATTTTTACAATATATCGTTGCATTCCGGTGCATTTGAACATATCTTATACTTCATCACCTCCATCTACGTAATTTATATTTCAAACGCATTTAAATCACAACATATATATATATATTTATATATAAATGTAGTATGCTTTTGCAATTTTTGTTTAGCAGTATATAACAGTAAGTGGTATGGAGAATAACGCTTAAGACTGAAAATAAAAGATTAACAAATGTGCAAATCAAACCTAACTGCTAAAACATCCGTACCACTCTATAACACTAAGTACTATGTAACAATAAAGCCCCATCCTATGTTTGAGGAAAATTAATAATTTCTAGCGTAAGTAAAGCACATGAGCTCCGCAAGATGATTTTAGTTTAATGAAATGAATGGGTAGGTTGTACAAGAAATGTGTCCGATTCTTGTGTTGTTTTCTCGTGTGTTGGCCATGGAGGAGACAAAAGCGATCTTTGATAATATCGGCATTGACAAATCACCCAAAAAAGTCACACAAATTCTAAAGTTGATGGTAATCTTCTTACGCTTTAGATATGAGTAGGTTTAAAGATAAATCCGTTGTCATTGTCCCACTAATTTTCTTTTTAAAAGCATTAATTATCCAATCAATTTCTTCCATTTGAAGTTAAGAGAGCTTTTTTACGCAGGAGGATCCTCGCCGGATCACCTTTGTGAGGATCTTAGGGATTCTTCAATCACATCTGTTCATTGTACATCGTGCGGTCAGAAATCATTGTAAATTTTTATATTTAAAATTGAATATAAACAATGCCTAATAAAAATTGGTCGTACAATGTATGATGAACATATGTAATTGGAGGATCCCCGAAATCCTCACAAAGAGGATCCGGCGATAATCCTCTCTCCTTTTCACACCAATGTTCATGCCCGTGGATCATGTTTACATCTCTTTTTAAATAAAATCTAGTGCATGACTCGCGGACAAACACCCAGACACATGGATCGTTTTGTTTTTTTGTATGACGAGAGCTAATCCATGATTGAAAACAAGAAAACAACTTATATGAGACAAGTACATTGTTACTACGGATTTACTGTGTCTTTAACTACTACGACAAAACAATGCATAAAATTTTATTCACATGGTTTGTTTTTAGTAGCTGAAAAAGTCAAAATTTTGATCCCTGACATTGAAAATCAATAGAAGTGGTTTTTGAGTTTGTCCACCGTAAATCATTTTGCTCATTTCGTGATAAATTTGTCAATATCCTTGTTAAATTGTCACGTGAACGATCACGTGACAACATTTTTAAGGGTATTTTTGTCAAACCAACATCTCTACTTAATGAGAATGTTAACAAAATCACGGAGTGACTGAAATGATTTAAATGGACAAATTCAAAGACCACTTTTATCGATTTTCATTAACAAAGACCAAAATATGGAATTATGTAAATCTGGACCAGTTTGACTAAAACGGTGCAATCAAATGAAGTGAACATGCAATTGAGAATCTTAACAAATTCAACTATACTATTTTTTTCTCTGTGTGGCATAATAAATGTATTGCCTTTTTCAGCCATCGAGCATCCTACTGCTGTTCTCAACACTTTGGATTCAGGACTTTCTTACAAACTCATGTGCCATTTAAGAGCCAACACCGAACATGCTTGGGTTGGTTCCTGAAACATTTCATCTCTCACCAGGAGAGCAATTTAAATGGGACGCGTACACCACTACGTTGCATTCCATGTCAATTATACAACGTTAAGTATTACTCTCTCTGTCCCTAACACGTATTTTTTGCAGGACTTTGCCATTGATATACAATTCTTGCTTCCCTCCAAGTGACGAAATTCTGGAATGGTTCGGGCAGCACGGCACTGGTCACTCAGCAACAATGCCGCTGCCACTACATCTGTTTAATGGCGGTTCTCATTGGCTGGGATTGCCCTACTTGTGTGCGTACTTTGAGGAAGAGAATTTGGCTATTCCAGCTGGAATTTCGCACCACCGTCCGCCACCACCTTATATGTCATTTCTGGAATGTCCTGCCCATGCGTAATAAGGAACTGGAGTGCTTGTATGAGCTGGGAGGATTCATTTGGCTGTCCAACACACTGCGAGGGTGGTTTCAACTGGAATCCGATCAGTTGTTTAACGAGCGTAGCGTTCTGGAGGATTCAACTGGAAGTGATCGCCCAAGCTTGAGGGTACAAAAGTGTGGACTTCATCTCGTGTATCTGCGCGACGAGGAAGAGTTTAAACAGACCATAATGCTTTGGATGACATCTTTGCGTGAGGCAGGATCAACTACTGGCACAGCTATAACTGAGAGAATCGAAAGACCGAATGACACCAAAGGTATACGGCTACTAGTTCGATTAATCTGTCTGTCCTCCTATGTTTGAGCCAGATTTTGTTACTCTGCCAATCCCTCCTTGTGAATTTGTATTCAGGTATGTATGACGGTCCCGACAACGTTAGCAATTGTCTGTCAACTTCGTTACACTTTGTAAACAGTGGTCTATTCTCGATCGACAAATTTGGACGTCGAGTTTTTGATTCAGACATCCCGTTTGTGTAGTGCAATAATTAAATGAACATGTAAACTTTGTGTACCGATTCTAGGCGACTCGACTGGAGTTAAAAGGGGTGAGCAAAATCGAACTCGATTCGTCAATGAAAATACCTTCAATTTCAATAACTGAAGTCAAGTTTCCAGTTAACTCTTCACAATTGCAGAATCCGAGTATATCCTATTAATTTGTAGGTTTGTAAGTTCACCGTCTTCTAGTCCGAACTTGTGACATTGTCACGCAATGTTGCTAATTTTAGCGGACAAAATGAATGTCGTGCCAATGACTTGGAATTTATTATTAATAAAGTGCTACACTTGATAACATGATTGTATTGATATCAACGTGTGGCAGTGTGAAAATAACAACGAAAAACTACTCCATCTATTGTCTCAAATGAAGAAATCTGAAGTGAAATTGCTTCAAATTTCTTTACGTTGACAACGAGAGGAATTCGCAAAAACTCCAGGATAATTCAATCCTACTTCTAATTTCTTGTTGACTGGAAACAACACAACCCTAATCTACGGTGAACAAATTACAAAACAAAAACCTTACCCTGTTTGGCTATGATAGCAATGGCAATGAGGCCGGCCTCCTCAAATTCACACCTCCACGCCAACATCACCCCACCGGACTTTGTATCTTGCTGCAAGATAGTGTGCCCCGACAGGACCTCTGCTTCCATAAGGATAGTATTCGGGAATAACCTTCTTCTCTTCAATCTCTTTCAATAAGGGTGTGAAGAGTGCCCAAGCTGCATCAAGTTCATCACTCCGGATAAACAGCCTCCTTTCCCCTTCAATAGCATCCAGCAGAAGCCTCTCATAAGCATCCGGAATCTCCTTTGAATATCTACAAATAACAAAAAACAAACGAATTTGGTTAGGTATTTCATCATTTTTTTGAAGGGTACAAAAGAAGATAACACACTGGTGCATGTTATATTACTAATTACACTTACGATTATTCATTGACACATTAAATTCTTTCGTGCAATTTATACATAAACTTTCAACTTTTTAAACCTAACCTGGCTGCGTAGTGGAGATTTAGATTGCTCCTGTCCAACCTCATTCCAAGACCAGGGACTTTGTTATTGATCTTCAGGACAATAGCTTCATCAGGCTGTACTCGGATAACAAGCTCATTTGTCGTGCGATCAAGATCCGTTCCAATATTTCGATACAAGTTTCCAGGCACATGCCGAAACTGTACCCTTATCTCAGCCCTGGAAAAAAAAGAAGAAGAAGCAAATATGAATTAGTATATCTGAAACCATGACTGGTAAACAAGAACGAGAATCTTATCTCTAATTGAACAAACCTCTTATTATGTAATGCTTTCCCGGCCTTCATCAAGAAAGGCACCCCATCCCATCTTGCGTTGTCTATGAAGAGAGCAGCTGCCGCAAATGTTGGAGTCAAGCTGTCTTTGGGTACCGTCTCATCATCAGTGTATGCCGGGTAAGTAATACCACCTCTAACATGACTCTTGTATTGCCCTGTGACCACATTTTCAAGTTGTAGTGGCCTCATAGAGCGTAAAACTTTAACCTGGCAACAAGCAAGCACTATAAATATCAGAATAAAGAGGAATGCAATACAAAGTACGAAGGCAGCCCCATTTCAGGTATTCGTAAAACCTTCTCGTTTCTGATGTCTTCTGCATACAAACTGACAGGGGTTTCCATTGCAAAGAGAGCCAGTATCTGAAGCAAGTGATTCTGCATTATATCTCTTATTATCCCATAGTTGTCAAAGTACCCTCCACGTCCTTCAGTGCCAAAATCTTCAGAGAATATTAACTGTACATTTCTTATATACTGCCTTGACCACAAGGGCTCAAAAATAAGGTTGGAGAAGCGGAGAACTGATAGGTTTTCCACAAGCTCCTTGCCCAGATAGTGGTCTATCCTGAAAATTTGATCCTCTTCTAGGTACTGTTTGAGGGCACTGGTCAAAGTAGCAGATGATTCTGAATCTCGGCCAAAGGGTTTCTCAACAATAACCCTAGTCCAGCCATTACAAGATGAAGCCGACGAGCTAGCACAGCGAACAGCATCGATGAATATGTTTGGAGGAATAGACAGATAAAACAGGCGATTAGGAACTCTTCCTGCCTACACATGTAGTTGCTTGTCAATCTAAATGGAAGCAGAATCAAGACCCAGAAAATAGCTTACTTGAACATCATTCAAACAGGCAATGACCAAAAGTACAGAGAGAGCTTAAAGTTCCCACAGACAACAGCACCAAGAAAACTTGAACAGAAGGCAAAGTATAAAATCGTATTCAACACTCTATCACTAAGGTTAGAGTACACACTCAAATTATTACCTCATGTTCCTTTAGCTTCTTGTCCAGCTCTGCGAAATGATCCTGCGAATCATACTGACCAGAATGATAGAAACATCTTTGAAGAAATTCGTCCATTTTCTCACTGCAATTCTCCCTGAAGTTCCAACAAAACAATTCATCACGCATTAATCAACCTCAAACTTTATACACCCAGCAATAACTTTTCCATCTTTTCAAACAATGTTGAAAGATCAACACCAGCGCAAAGTTGGTGCATGAATAATTCTGCTACAAAACTCTGGCAAAGTATAGCAGCAAGCTTAGAAGGCAGTGCCTTCTAGAGACTGCATTTTGGTCAGGTGCAAAGGAACCAGATTTTTCTAGTTCAAACATGCATGAGATTTAAGTGACCAGTGCATGCATATTAACTATGCTAGACAATTCTCTCACAAGATTATGGCGGTTTCTTAGGTCCGTGGTAGTGCATGATCAATGCACTAGCTAGAAAATTCTAGCAATGATTAAGTCGGTTTAGCAAACCTATAAATAGGAGAAAGAATGTATTATGTATTATGTATCTCCTTTCTTCAAGAGTTTCTATGTTGTAATATTTTGCGAGTGTAATATAGTAATTTGTTTACTTGTTTTGTCTCTCCAACACTTAGATATTATAGTTGTGTATTCTAATTTTCTCAGCAAACAATACATAATATGCAAAGCAACCACATTTCACAACAAAGGCCAAAGCTTTTGGCTCACCTCTTGTCGATTCGGCAAGTAAGCGTCTTGCTAACCATGTTTCTGAGCTCGGCATCGGTCATCTTACTCCGAGCATAACCATAAATAGTGAAGTGCTGCAACAAAATATTTACATACTCATTTTTCGCCAATCAATCGAAATCTAAGAATCAAGTAATCAAACGAAAGATAAAGAACAAATAGTCCACACCTTCGGGAGGCAATCCTCGTAGAAAAGTGCGAAAAGTGCGGGGAAAATCTTCTTCTTGGCAAGGTCCCCGGAGGCTCCAACCACCGTGATACTGACAGTAGATTCACTTTGATTAACATTAAACACGGCCGTGTCTTTAGATTCCTTCGAAGACGGAGCTGAAAGCAACCCATCTTTCAGTTTCTCGAAAGGAGCTTCGTTCTCAATTGGGTTGACCGCCGGCGCCGGCGGGCCTACATTGATGGAAAAACCCAAATTAAAAGACTGTAAATTTACAACTAAATTAAACAAAGGACAGAACAAAAATAAAAAAATCTGATTTCTGATGACATCCAAATCAATGAAATTAAGATTAGAAGGCTGAAGGAGCTTACCGTCTTGCAAGCCGACAGCATTCTGCTGAGAAACCTTAGCTGAAACAAAACGTCTCGGAATCGAAGAAATTGAAACGCGTTGTAGGCGTCCGTGTACAGATGAATAAACAGGTAAATACGAAACAGATGACGACGATGATGACGGCGGCAGCGGCGGCGAGTAGGTGTGGCAGAAATGGGTGGAAGGAGGAGTCGCCATCTCTCTCTCTCTCTCTGCTTTTTAGTTTGTTGGTCGGGATCGGAATTCAGTGGAGAAATGGGGTGCTGGGTTTTGGGGTGAGGAGGTCGGAGAGAGTTAACAAGGAAGAAACATGGGAAGTATCGAAAGGGTCGGGGTAATGGAGGACCCTTGAGATCTCCGAAAGGCTGTTTTGTCTTTTGGTGTGCCAGCAATCCAACGATTGCAAGGAGCGGAATACCGTACAGCTTACCAAGACAAACTATAGACAAGTTTTGCTTGCCCTTTGATTCCTTGTTCTAATTAGGTTTTAACTTTGTAATTAAATGATTAATTAATAAGTTTGTAGTTTTGTAGTTTTGCAGGGAAGCGCAAAATGCAAAGTTGATGGCTGAATCGATGTAGGCCCGAGTCTCAAATGGCAAACTCTTTTGTTGGCCCAAAAATAGTAGTGGGCCGAGCTTCTGTCTTTTTCCTGTGGACAAATTCCTTTTCAAGAGAAATTTCAACCCAGTGGTTTTAGAAAGTAAGAGGTTTTCTTCGTTTCACGTTAAAAGTGCACATTTAAGTTGTAAATCATAACAAGATTTTTGCTAAATTATACAACATGATTTATCGGCTTTTGTTTTATTATATAACCTAGATGTGCGACTTTGATGTGCATTGAAGAAAACTCACAAAAAGCAAACAATGAGGAATTAAAAATAGGAACCAGAGTGACTAAAACAAAATCCGGTGGAAAATCACAAGATTGTTGTGAACTTTTCTAGTTTAAGTGTGATTGTGTAAATCCTAGGTTAGATTTGATTCTAGTTATTTTTTTCTATATGGACTTTTATTCCTTGGGGATGAAGGATTTATTCTCTCCTTTTACTACCACAAATAAAGGCACTATGTGGGGGGATAACACATCCTTAATCCACAATTCCCCTACGATTCTACAAACACATCTCTCCTCTCTCTCTCCCCCTTGTCGTCGGCCCTCTCCTTCTTGTTAGATGAAATAGACTACAACACATTATCAACACGCTCCTACCGTTGTGCTTAAAACGTTGAAGCTTTTTTTTTTTCTTCTTCAAACCAGTTCATCCATATTGTTACGCAATCAGGTTCTTCCAAAACAACGGTTTTTATCTTGATATTTTTGCAGCCCTGATAGCATGAACTTTTACCATAATGTATGACGCAACTCTACGTTTTTCGAATTTTAGATTCTATATAAATTGTGTATGCATTATATTCATAATTATTAAATTATGTGAATTTGATATTGCCATGAATTGCATCAAATATATGTACATACATTAAAATATTAAATTAAATTGCATATGCATTAAATTGAATTGCATTGTGAAAAAAAAAAGGGAAACAAAACCAATCGGTGTGGCTAGGGTTCTTCGAACCCACGACCTCGACTCGCCCAGACCCGCAACTTGTGTGGCTAAGAGCCACCAGCTGAGTGCTAGCAGCTCTCCCTCTCCATGAAAACCAACATGACATCGTTCATGGCGTCGTCCCCAGAAAACCTTCACTCGCCCGTAACCAAGTCACGGCAACAATGCCTACCTCTGTGGCAAACCACAACCTAAAGTTGTGCTTTTTTGGACAAATTCATTGTCTCCGACGATGTTTATTGAAATTCCCGTTGAATTTCATTAGGTTTTCAAGGATTTTGATTTGAAATCCCTATGGTTTTTCACACCCAAACGTCGAGAAATTGAATTTTCTCTGTTCAATATAAGATTCCAGATCGAACCCGTGCTTCTCCCGACCAAAATCAACCCAGAACATGGCCACTAACAGTGGTGGCACTCTAGCGACCTTACCCAGCAAACACTGGGATGTTTTGGTTCTGACCCAAACCTACTTGGCTGCACTTGGTCCTAACACCAGCCTTTTGGGCTTTGGTGTTCTGTTTGAAGCCCATTGGAGAGACATAGCAATCTGGGCTCCTAGATTGTAGCCCATACATTGAAACTCAGCCCAAGCGTGACACCAGCCCGAGGGCTATGGTGTCCCATACGCTGCGACGCACAGGATCGCACCTCCCCCCGGTTTCACTGTTTGCGCCGCACATGATTAGACCTTTTTCATAGGCTCCTCTAGACCTAACATTTGTGTCGTGCTTTTCGTGTTTGTGTCGTTTTCGTGTCATACCAAATAGCTTAACGGGTCGTGTCGTGTAATACCTGTTAAAGTAAACGGGTAATATGACCCAATCCGAAATAAACTCGTTAATATTATCAGGTAATATGACTCGACCCGTTCTCCGTTAAGAAAAATATATTTTAAATCAATAAAAATGAAAATGAAAAACATAATTTGATCCAAAAAAATGTAAAACATAATACTAAATTAGTATATACATACTAAATTTCGGAGTTGACCCCTTCATGAAAGTTGTAAAGTTTTTCATTATAAGTGATTACATTTTTCACACTTCCACAATAATTTTTATTAATTTTATTAATTTTGCACTCAAATAAAAAACATTGTTCATGAGATTTGGAGGGTTTTAAAAATATAAAAGACCATGTAACCATCGTCTAAGTGTTGAGGATGCAATTATAAACGTTTATTATGCTTTCACATCTTTTAGACTTATACATTAATGATTATGAATTTTGTTTATTTTGAACTCCCTTAAAAATACTATTCATGAGAGTTTGTATGGTTTTAAAAATTCAAACGATCATATACCCATTGTGACATCCCACATCGCCCAGGGGAGTGATCCTTAAATGTATATTCCCATCCTTACCTAGCACGAGGCCTTTTGGAAGCTCACTGGCTTCGAGTTCCATGGGAACTCCGAAGTTAAGCGAGTAGCGCGCGAGAGTATTCCCAGGATGGGTGACCCATCGAGAAGTTCTCGTGTGAGTTCCCAAAAACAAAATCGTGAGGGCGTGGTCGGGGCCCAAAGCGGACAATATCGTGCTACGGTGGTGGAGCGGGCCCGGGAAGTGATCCGCCCCGGGCCGGGATGTGACAATTTGGTATCAGAGCCTAACCCTAGCCGCGTGTGTGCCGACGAGGACGTCGGGCCCCTAAGGGGGGTGGATTGTGACATCCTACATCGGCCAGGGGAGTGATCCTTAAATGTATATTCTCATCCCTACCTAGCACGAGGCCTTTTAGGAGCTCACTGGCTTCGGGTTCCATGGGAACTCCGAAGTTAAGCGAGTAGCGCGCGAGAGCATTCCCAGGATGGGTGACCTATCGGGAAGTTCTCGTGTGAGTTCCCAAAAACAAAACCGTGAGGGCGTGGTCGGGGCCCAAAGCGGACAATATCGTGCTACGGTGGTGGAGCGGGCCTGGGAAGTGATCCGCCCCGGGCCGGGATGTGACACCCATCCTTAAAGCATAGAGGATGTGACTACAAGCATTTGCATATTTTTTCATATTTTTCGCACATGTAAATTAATTATTATAATTTTTTTAATGTGTTTCGTATTTTCAAATTACTTGATATTTTTATTTTTAATGTGTTTTATGATTTTTAATCTCAATCCTTGCCTATAATATACTATAAAAATAAATTAATTAATAAAACTTAAATTTTAAAATTTATATAAAATAATAATTAATAAACAATATATACATATTTATTATATCTATTTTATTTTATAGTAAGTTTTTTTTAGTATTTTAAAAAATTAAAATCATCAAAATAACTTTTTTCTTATTGTGTCGAAATAGGTTACCAGCGTGTCACTCTCGTGTAAACCTATTAAGGACCCATTATTAACAAGTTATTATCGTGTGACCCGATAATGACCCGATTATTTATCGTATTGACCCGAAACCCGTTATTTTCGTGTTGTGTTAACAGGTCGTGTAAGAAATTGCCAGGTTTAGGCTCCTCTCTTGATCTGGCTTGTTTTGTTCCTCTTCCACTGTGGGCCTGCAGTCCCACCCGAGACACCCGCATCCCAATTTTTGGGCCTGGGCTACACGGTCCGACATTTTTTAGCCCACCCGTGGGCTTAGGCCTTCTTTTGAGCCACGAGTTTTCCATGCCTAATTATTTTAGGCTCAATGGGTTTTATATTTTTTAGCCTACACTTTAAATTTGGCCTGAAGTCAAAATAATTAATTCAAATATAATTTTAGACCCGAAGTTCTATTTGCATATTTTCTTGTTGCATATTTCTGTGTATATATTTGCGTATATATATGTTTACCTGTAGGAACATATGAACCTCAAATTCATAATTATTTTGAAAAAAGCATGCCTTGTTTGAAAACCTAAAGTTTTTCATTAAAAAAAATCACCCATGAAAATCCAAAGTTGTTTCTTTTTTTTTTTTTCCATGTGAATATTAACCAATACATGTCTATTAGAACATGAATGTTCTACTCTTATGTGAATGGATTGATTTTTTTTTTCTCCATTGCACTAATCACATCTTGTCTAAATTACACTTTCATACTCAGGTTTGGATTCTATTTCAATTCCTTATAATATCTTCAAAACATTTCACTTTCATACCTTAAGTACTATTTTATTTCAAAATAATACATTCATTACATTTTCCATCCATGGATTATTTAAATGCTGACGTGTCTGCCACATATATGTCATGTGGCAACTAAAATAATTTTTTAATTTTTTTTAAAAAACCTGAAATTTTTTTTTCTTCTTCTTCTTCTAGGTTGCAGGGGTTTTTTTTTTTTTTTTTTTTTTATCTTCTTCTTCTTCTTCTTCCTCTTCTTCCTCTTTCTTCTTATTCTTCTTCTTCTTCTTCTTCTTCTTCTTCCTTCTTCTTCTTCTTTTGGGTTGCAGGGGGTTTGAGTTCCCTTTTTTTTTGTTGTTGTTGTTCTTCTTCCTCCTCATACTCCTTCTTCTTCATCTTCCTACTCCTTCTTCTTCCTTCTTTTTCTTCTTCTTCTTCTGGTTTGCAGGGGGTTCAGGTCCTCTTTTTATTTATTTTTTCTTCTTCTTCTTGCAAGTTTTTGCGTTCTTCAAGGATGTGGGTCGCTGGGGGGAAGAAGAAGGAGGAAGAAGAAGAAGAGAAGAAGAAGGAGGAGGAGAAGGAGGAAGAAGAAGAAGAAGAAGAAGAAGGAACCCGAACCCCTTGCAACCCAGAAGAAGAAAAAGGAAGAAGAACAAGAACAAGAACAAGAACAAGAAAGATGAGGAGAAGGAGGAAGAAGAAGAAGAAGAAGAAAAAAGAAAAAAAAAAAAAGAAGAAGAAGGGAACCCTCTACAATAGGGGTGGGCATGGGCCGGGCCAAGCCGGATTTTACTATTT